AAAAAAAACAAACCAGCACTTTTTTATTTTTACATCAGTGCCAAAAATTCCACCAACAATAAAATTGAAACACGTCGCTATTGCGGAAGAAGATTTATACATTACACATCTGTCTTATCGAGAAATATTTTTTAATCAATATACCTAAAAGTCTTTGGTGCAGAAAATTATGTTTCATATGATATTTGTAGGACACGTTGCAGGGATTTTATGCCTAACTAGTAAAAAAACGGGGGGGGGGGGTGACATTTACTAAAAGTTAAAAGCTTATGCTCAATGACTTCAGTCGATAGAATTGCTGAAAGAAAAAGAAAAAAAAAGTTATAAAAAGTTATTTATTTTTACTTCTACATGAACGGCTCCTCTTCCATTTTCCTCGTTTCACATGCAGGACATATTCCACGTGTTCAGACAATTTTCCTCCAAAGAAACTCCGAACTAATTAAAAAATCATCGGCCCACATGTACATCGCTCTCGTCACAAAGAAACCTCGTCGGGCTACAACCACCTGCTATATAAGTCGCGCTCAACGCGCGATCCATCAGTCGATCGTCATGTCGCGGCTGATCGACTCGCTTCTCGCGCTCTGTGTTCTTGCAACTGCCGCAGACATCACTGTTAGTCACGCACAAGGTAATAGCGACGAGCCCCTACTGCTGACGAGATACATCGAAAATGGAAGGATACGGGAGGCGAGGCAAAAAGCCGAGGTCCATCACGAGGAGTTTGGTAACGTCAAAAGCTACGCTGGTTTTATCACGACCAACAAGACCTACAACTCCAATGCCTTTTTCTGGTTTGTCCTCTCGCAGGTGCGCGTGTTCATACAGCTTTCGCAATTTTCAAGTTTTTTTTTTTTTTTCTTAACAATTTTTCTTCTTTAGACCAATCCGAGGGACGACCCGGTGATCTTGTACTCGAACGGTGGTCCAGGCGTGCCGGTTTTATCCGTCCTCTTCAACAACAACGGGCCCTTCATCGTTACCAAGGACCAGCACCTCTTGCGCAGAAATCACACCCTCACCACAAACCACAGCGTGATCTACCTCGAGATACCGGTTGGCACTGGCTACAGTTACACGGACAACGAGCTGGGCTACCTCCGTACCCAAGACGACGTGGCGCGCTACGTGATCGCCTTCCTCGAGCAGTTTTACCAGCTCTTCCCAGAACAGCGGAAAAACGATCTGTACTCGGCTGGCTGCTCCTACGCGGGAAGGTTCGCGGTGACGACGTCGCGCGCCGTCAGGGAGTACAATCATCGGGCCGAGGACAAGATCAACCTCAGGGGTATCATTCTGGGCAACGCCTTTATCGACTTGGTTCGCCAGCAGTCGAATCGTGAGTTTCTCTACCACATTGGGCTGATCGACTGGAACGAGCGCGAGAATATTAAGAAGATCGACGACAGGATGGCCAAGCTGGACGAGAGAAGCCCCGAGTATCTTACCGAGGTGGTTGCTAAGTACGAGATGATTGTCCTGTACACGAATTTCAGCTACATATTCAACTATCTAACGACCAACGAGCCCGAGGACACGAGCTACTACATGTTCTGGGTCCAGACACCGCGGGTGCGGCGAGCTTTGCACGTGGGAGAGCGCAAGTTCGTTGGTTACTTGGCCGAGTCGAATCGACACTTTGCCGATGACATAAGGATATCGGTTGCGCCCGTTATGGCAGAGGCTATGGAGGATCACAAGGTTTTGTCCTACAGCGGCCAGCTTGACATGCACTTTCCTTACTCGGCCACGCAGGAGCTGTACAGGAGCCTCGAGTGGTCCGGTGCTCGCGAGTACAGAGCTGCGAGCAAACAAATGTGGTATCACGAGGGTACGTTGGCCGGTTACCGGAAGAGGGTCCAGAATTTCGAGGAGGCCATTGTCAGGAACGCTGGACACATTGCCGATTACGAGCAGCCGGCCTGGGTTTGCGACCTCGTCACGCAGTTCACGCGAAGAAAGTAGATTTGTATTATGATATGCTTTTCTTGTAATTCGATGTTTATTGTGCGACTACATAAAACGGCACGAGGAATGACGACTGTTTTCGTCGAGTCGCGTGTAAGTATATGTTAGGAAAATTTTTGTGTTTTGAAAGTTTAAGCAATAAATTACTCTTATCAACTGTGACGTTGTTGCGACGAAGTTGCGTGTTATTCTGGAAGCGGATCAACCATAGCAATGCAAAAAAAAAAAACATACAATTTGTCATTTTGCGTCATAATAATATGTAGATTAAAGTCGCAAACAATTAAAGTACCCTCATGTTTTTTTCAAATCATCTTAACGAAATATAATCGCGTGCTTTCCTCAGCGCTTGCGCTATTATTGTACACATCTATTGGCTCTTGACTGCCTTGAGATTATTTTTGTTCCTTTTCATGCCAAGATAACAAGCCGAGCGTACGAGACGCTCGTTCAGATGTAGCGGGAATCTTCTTGAAACGCTACAAAAGTAAGTATTTTCGAAAGTTTCCAGCATCGAATACCTTTATGTATGTAAAAAGTTGTAAAACAGAAATTTTTATTCAGAAAAACCATCACTTACAAAAATGTCAACACTGAATCACGCGTAACCCCTTACCGATCTTTCACCTCCAGCAGTCGTTCCAGTCAATGAGATCTGGCACCTCAGGCTCCCGGTACCACGGGTCCTCGAGGTCCCACAGTTCCTGCGGCAAGCACTCCCTACCGTATGGCGCCCTTGCCGTCGTAGGTGGAGGCGTGACCGGTGACGGCGGCGGTCTCGGCGGAAAGTTTTGCAGATCGAAGAAGCGCTCGATCCGCTCGACCGGCATCGGCAAGTAATGATACGGCTCGTTACGCCTGGGTACAGCCGTGTACTGGCCCCTGTCGTAGTCGTCACAGTTGTTCTCGGGTCCGATCTCCAGGTACTCCTGGTCACGGCACTCGTTTCGTGGCTGCTGGCGGGAAACGCGCCCACAGTCTTCGTCGGCAAAACGCTCGACTTGCCGCCGGCGCAAGTACTCGCGTGCCTCCTCGACCACCGGGTGGTGCCTGTCGTACTCCACTTGCAAATAGGGATCGTCTAGGTCCGGGCAAGGAATGAGGTAGGGAATTGACGATTCGGGCGTCACCAGCTGTACTGTTGGCGACTCCTCCGAAAATGGCCTCTGGTTAGCGCAGTCGTTGTCCTAGTGAGGATTGCCGATCGGTAATACAACCGGTAATTGTATTCTTCATGCATTAAACAAATATGTTCATACCTGTAAATTGATGGCGTTGCTGCCAACGTTGGCCACAGTCATGACAAATTCGCGCCTCGCCTGCTGTAGATCGTGCAGCTTCGACTTGACGATCGCCTCCTCAGTCGCGTCCTGATGGTCATAATCATCGATTCATTTATTCCTCATGAACTAACCCCATGTATAATGAGCTCACCTGCTCGTCGAGCGACTTGCTGATGATCTGCGTGCTCCTGTTGGCCGGCTGTTGGACGCCGGACGGTCCCGAGGCGAGGACGCTCGACGGCTGGGGTATACTGATGACGGTCGTTTTCTCGCAGTTGATGGCCCCCGGTGGTATGATGAGGTTGTCGATGGGCCGGCCACACTCGAGGGGCTCGGCCTCGACGATGTCCGCATTTATGGACTCGGCGAGGTTGAGCGTGCGCGCGGGCACCCCAGCCGGGGTACGACTTCTGGGACGTGATGAGGAGGAGGCCGGCCTCGACGAGGACTGCTGGTCACGGCCACTCGGAGGACAAGGTGGCGGAGGTGTCGGTGGTCGCGACATCGGTGGCGGTGGCGACGGGGTGGTCGACGAAGGACACTCGGCGCTAGTAGGCTCGGGTGGGAAGCAGGGCTCCACCGTGGACGAGCATCTGCCGTAGTCCTGCGTTACGGAGCTTGGGGTCAAGTTCTACGTCTAGCTCTGTCAGGCGGCGTATTGCCACGGAGGGGCCCCAACCTCGGGGGATCGACGCTCGCGGGTAGCCGGCCTCGCAAAGTCAGCTTTGGGTATCGTGGGACGCCTGGAGTGCCGGGTTGGGGCAGGCTCCGGGCATCGATCGCGCTCACGACGTTCCATCTGCTCCTGGAGCCTCTGCGTGTGCTTGAGACGTTGTTCCATCGCTCGCGTCATTTGCGGTCGTTTGTAGTCGACTCGTTTGGGGGCCGCTGGTGGTGGGCCACGCTTCGGGATCGTCGACTTCACAGCCGACGAAGGTCGCAGTGCTCGAGCTGAGGACGAGAAAACGTAAGGTGTTGAAGGTGCACGTGTGCGGGTGTGTGATTTTCGGTAGTCGAGCTACGTGTTTTTTTATGTATGGTTGTGTTGAATGGTAAAGAGTTGGCATACGACGACAGATGCCTTGCCGTGGTATGGTGGCGGTGGCGCCTGTATGGACAGTCGAGTGGGCGATGGGCTGCCCTCTCGGGCCCGACGTGGGTGGAGGCCGACATGGGAGTGCCGACCTCGGGTTCCGACTCATCTTTCAGCGAGGCGATGCATACGTGGTACTTTTTTTTCCTTCTTTTTTGTTGCCCGTCATCCAATTTATACCAGGCCTCTGCTTCGTCGAATCATCATTGATCCGTGCCTCGGATTGACTTGGGATGAGCTTTACCTGCGAATGAAAATGGTTTTGTTGTTCATTTTTATAAGCTGCACATTTCTCCCGGTATCCATGATTATCAGGCATTAATAGTTATGAATGTATTGTCCTGTGCAAAGTAGTTAAAAAAAAAGGCAGCTTGCACAAGTGATACTTTACGTGTTTACTTGTATAATCAAACAAAAGTCGCGTTGGGTCAATTTCATGTGAATAACTAATCTGACGTGGATTTTCTCACTCGTGCAATAAACCAAAACATGAGTATGAAATTTCTTTTTCCGTCGTGATTTATGCATAAAAGGTATGAAAAGTTATAATTTTAAGGGTAAGACAAACTTAATGTCCACGGATGAATTTCAACTTGAACGAGTACACTGTTGGTGCGCAATGATTGATGACGAGACCATTTTTGTATTAAGTAACAACAAAGATTTACCTTGCGAATTTTAAAAAGCTGTGAAATTTTACGAGAATTTTGTCATGTAGAGGCCGAAACTTGAGGTTGGAATTGATTGACAGATATTGTGGGTTCACCGCATATCGTTTGTTTTGCCTGTTAACGATACATACCCAATTCAATGACCCGATTTTTACCGCCAAACTAAAAAAGGAACCATGTTTCTTATGACAGAAATTTACTAGGAAAACTTACTAGGCCGGTGTTTAGCGGAGGGTCTATTGGAGCGGCTCCTGTAGACCCTACGCTCACTTTCTATGAATTCACTAATGTCCGAAGCAGAGGGTCTATTGGATCGCCTCCGGTAGACCCGCTAGCGTCCGAAGCAGAAGGTCTATTGGAGCGGCTCCGGTAGACCATATGCTCACTTCTTATGTATTCACGAATGCCCACAGCGGCGGGTCTATTGGAGCAGCTCCGGTAGACCCTACGCTCACTCACTATAAATTCACTAGGAAACTTGAAAATTTACATGACCAAAAGACAGACTGCCGATAAAAGATTTATCGCAGAGTCCTTTTACACCGACGAGAATGTTCAATCCCTGCTGTACCGGCATGACAGGATCGATAAGCATGCCCCTAGACGACATATGTCGTACCGACTGTAGAGAAACCGGCCAATGTAAACCGACAGTCGGTACACCAGGAACCTGTTACAAAACTGGCCCATCGCAGGTCTCGGTGTCGGTATATCAGGAATTTAGCTTTCCCGTCGGTATAGCGGGACTCTTCGATAAATCTTTTATCGGCAGTCCGTCAATCGGGCACTAGTGAATTTTTAGGAAGTGAGCATAGGGTCTACCGGAGCTGCTCCAATAGACCTTCTGCTTCGAGGACTAGCGGGTCTACCGGAGCCGCTTGAATAGACCCTCCGCTGTGGACATTATTGAATATATAGGAAGTGAGTATATGGTCTAGCGGAGCCGCTCCAATAGACCCTCCGCTGTGGACATTAGTGAATTTAAACGAAGTGAACGTAGGGTCTACCGGAGCCGATCCAACAGACCCCCTCCGCTATACACTGGCCTTATAGTAACTTTTCCTAGTAAATTTCTTTCAAAAGAAATATGGTACCATTTAGTTTGTAATCAGCCTCGCTCTTAAAAAATGCGAATTGCGAAATTGAAAAATAAAAAAATTTTTTGCTCATTAACTTTCGAAGCGAGCACAGCGCCAATTACAAATTTACTAAAACGTTGACATCTCCATTGATACATTGGAGCTAATCTCATTTAAACCAAAAGAAAATCGAACCATACGCAAGTATCCACGTATACTTACAGTATCTGTAATAGCTATTTAATTGAGTTAACTGCCAGATTACGAAAACGCCCTAATGACCAGAAGTCATTTGAAAAATAGCTGAAAATACTTACTCTGAAAAAAAAAACGAGAAAACATATGTGCCTGTATGTCGTGAATAATAATGATAATAACAATAGTATCAAAAAACTTTTGTGTAGTTGCACACCGCGGAGTCTACTACACACAATTGTGTCAGTGCCATTCCATTCACTTCGCGGTGCGCGTCTAATATCTCTTTTATTATTGTTATTATTTTTGTGAACGAGCATTATATACCTATATTTGTGTATACATAAGATATATAGCCTGCATTTATACGAACGCGAAAGTGGACGACGTGACTACAACAGTCACGACCATGGCCGGTAAGTACATTGTGCGGCAGAACGGGCGCTCTGAATTTTTTAAACAATTTCTTTGTTAAAATAATAATTTTGAGCCTAATTTGCGGTTCTGTGCGACCCTTGGTCTGTTGGGCTTCTTGTACAATGAATTTCGGGAACTTGAGGGTAATGGAAAACAAATCGAAGCAGGTTGAAAGTGGTTCTGCTACCAATCATCACTACGTGTATCATTGTATATATTTACACTGTCGAAAAAAATACAAACTTCGAATAATCCGCGATATTCGTTTGTCGAAAGAAAAGAAAGCTGCGATCTTGTTTTCTATGTAACCTTCGACGAGCTTCGATTTTAAAAGAGAAAAAAAAGGCGACGATGAGCCAGCTATTTTTTACGAACTACGCGATTAAAATATGCAAATTTTTCATTACCTATTCGGTGGAATTGAGTGTTTGTCGAGGCGAGCCACGATCATCGCGAAAACTGTTAAATTTCATGGAATTAAAGGGCTGAATATTTGGGTTGCAGCGGAGAATCCCTTCAATAATCTGCTTGAGACCGTGGAGATCGCGGGAAAGCGTAAGAAATTCTTCAATGTCACTGGCTTTGGCGATAAGTATGGTGAGTTAGTTTATTTTTTTTCTTCTTTCTTCGTGAAATTTGAATTAAAATTGTTTGACAGACGTGTCATAGAGAATTTGTACTTATCGTTGGTGAAATTCAACTTGTACTTTCAGATAGGTTACCGTTTTCCATAAGAGTTCTGCTTGAAAGTGCTGTAAGGAATTGCGATGAGTTCCAAGTCAAGACGCAGGATGTTGAAAAAATTTTGGACTGGGAGAAAAACCAAGCTGTGGAAGAAGGCATAGAAGTAGCATTTAAACCTGCCAGAGTCATTCTTCAGGTAGGTACACATACGTTTGTTCAATCGTGATAATTTATACAGCGCTTGCATGGAAGATACTTATTTTCATATGGAAAGTAGGACACTAGAATTTTTCACCAAAGTTTCGACGTTATTGCATAATATTTTCGATTCTTTCCAAGTAGCAAAGGAGTGTAACCCAATCAGTTTGTAATATTAATTCAAATAACACTTTTTTTATCACAGAATGCTTGACTGACTCATTTAAATAATGTTTATTAATCCTAAAGCTCAGAAAAATATTGAGAGCACTTATATGTTACGCAACAGTTGCATTTCCATTATTTTGCAATAAAAGGTGTATATAGTTATGAGAAAATTTATCTAGTATAAGTGAATGTTAACGTTAATGAGTTATGTTAATCTGTTTCTAGGATTTCACTGGAGTCCCAGCAGTTGTTGATTTTGCTGCTATGAGAGATGCTGTCAAAAGTCTTAATGGAGATCCTAACAAGATTAATCCAGTTTGTCCTTCTGATCTAGTAATAGATCATTCCATACAAGTTGACTTTATCAGAAGGTATTTATAGCAATAGCAATTTACATTGGTCAAGAGGAACATGAGATTTAAGTTTTACAATAGGCTTTTATTCACAGTATACACAGTTTTAAACAATAATTGATAATCAAAATAAGTTGTTAAGATAAAAAATTTTATTTACAGTGAAGATGCTGGCAAAAAAAACGAAGAATTGGAGTTTGAAAGAAACAAGGAGCGATTTGTGTTTTTGAAATGGGGTGCCAAGGCATTTGAAAACATGTTGATTGTGCCTCCTGGCAGTGGTATCGTCCACCAGGTGAACTTGGAGTACCTGGCCAGAGTAGTCTTTGACATGAACGACTACCTTTTCTGCGACAGTGTAGTAGGGACGGATTCTCATACCACCATGATCAATGGACTTGGTGTGCTGGGGTGGGGTGTCGGTGGCATCGAGGCTGAAGCTGTCATGTTAGGCCAAGCTATTTCTATGCTCATTCCAAAAGTTGTTGGTTATAAATTGGTAGGAGAATTGAATCAGTATGTTACATCGACCGATCTTGTACTCACAATTACAAAGGTAATTAAAAAAAAATAAATTTCCTTAATTCAAAGTAAATAGCATGAAAAAAATGTGTGGTATTCATCTAGAATCTTAGACAACTTGGCGTTGTTGGAAAGTTTGTCGAGTTTTTTGGCCCTGGAGTATCCAAGCTAAGCATTGCGGATCGAGCAACGATTTCCAACATGTGTCCCGAGTACGGAGCGACCGTTGGCTTTTTCCCCGTTGATCAACAGAGTTTAGCTTACCTTCGTCAAACGAGTTAGTTGCTTCTTTTTATTTATTGATTCCGAAAATTTTTAAAGTAATGTATGTAATTAAAAACTTTTGAAATACTAAGGTCGATCCGACGAGCACATCGACAGAATTGAAAAGTACCTCAAGGCAGTGCGAATGATCCGTAATTATGATGACGAGAGTCAGGATCCTGTTTTCTCTGAAGTCGTCACCTTGGATTTAGCGACAGTCGTCTCGAGCGTCAGCGGGCCCAAAAGACCTCACGATCGCGTTTCTGTTGTTGACATGAAAAAGGATTTTAACTCTTGTCTCACAAGCAAGGTAAGTGAAATAAAAGCAAGACAACTTTGTTTATTTACATAAATTTAACATTTATTGTATGAACATCCAATGACCAGCAGTTAGTGTGTCCTCAGTACAAGTTACTTATACATTTTATTAGTAAACATTACGGAAAAGTTAATAGATATAACTGTACATTTACACATTAAGTATATAACAAGGACGTTCAAGACACGACAAATTAATGACACATAAGCGCATTGTTAGATAAATAAGCAGAGTAAGTTAATGAAAAATAAAACAAACTTTGATCAAAAGTCCGGAAATTCGCAAAGAGTCGCGTTGAACTGCATCGTTAAAATTGCAATATCAACGACGACTGAAGTACTTGTATGGGACAAACATAGCCCAGTGTCGGTTATAACATGAAACGACAGTCAGAGCAACGTTCGCCTCAGGGAGTACTTGTTTTTTCCTGATAGAGCTGTAAATTTGCTGACTCTCGCGTGCACTCGATGATTTCAGATGACAGAGCATTAGGTAACTTTAAGCTGTGATATGCATTTTTGAAATCATCATTTCACCGCTAAAGTCCCTTCCGCTCCGCCACGTCCATGTATAGGCTCGCCAAGAACAGCAGATAATGTTCCTTCGACGCTGCGCCCCACACATTCTGCTTTGCTGATCTAGCTTTAAGATTTTCAAACCCATCATCCAGTTAGATCACCAAAGAGGAATGCATGGAGCTTGCAAGAACTCGATTGTCAGCTCCTGTCCATCTGGTTAATTTCTTCTGTGATGATTTTTCCACGTATTGGAGACGGGTATTTCGATCTAGTCACGATTTCGTGTTCCACGTGTACCAGATCGAATACCGCGCCACCGATCCGCAGCACTTTACTTGGACGACTCTTATCTGTCAGAGCGTCGACGATGCTGGTGAATCGTTTTCGTCTTACTCGATGATTTTTAGAAGAAAAAGGATAAAATTGGATGAATCCTCCCCGGTGAGAACAACTCTATGATTTCTCATACGGGCAGGATGTCACCCAACATCAACCTCGTTTCTCTAGGTCCGTTTCTTTTCTCTCTAACGATGTAACGTATCTTTGTTTGCAATATAAATATACAATAGTTACCCAGAGTCAAAAAACTCGCGATTCTCAGCATGGCTGCCAACACATTTCGTTCCGATCGGTATGAATTTCTGGGAAATCCATTTTTCGGGACCCATTAGAAACCGATTAACCATGCTAGATAACGAGGGTGTTTTTTTTTTTTTAATTATTTTGTTCTCCTTATCTCGAGAGTGCAATACCGAAGCCACCTTACCAAATTTTAATTACCTCCACACGATTCATTAGGAAAAATTCATACCGGAGGTACTTACGTCGTGTATACCCGAGTCGCCATCCCCGAATACGCATGGAAAGGGAAAGAATAAGAAAATACGCGCTTTTCACTTTGATGAGTCAGTTACAACTGTATGTGCGAGTAGCGTGTTTTTTTCTTCGTTTTCAAATCAAGAAATTAATACACGTTGCAGTACAATCAAACTTTATTTACTTCAACGGAAATGAATATGTCAATGTATACGTGTATGTACCCTTGCTGTACACAATTATCAGTTTGATTTTGTTGCAGGTATAAAGTTTTGCTACTTACTCGAGCGACAACACTTTCATATCTCAAATATTCACAATATATAGAACATGGCAGCAGTAACAACAATTTAGACGTATGCTTTGAAATTAAAATGGCAAGGAAAAAAGAAGCCGCACGTGCTGACCGAGGAAATCGCGCGCCAAAACTCACATCTCGGGGAAAAACCCCCGAAGAAAAAGGGGAGCGAAGGGCAAGAAGGAGCAATAAAGACAAAAAAAGTACCTCTCGAGCGCGCGATCACCCATCACCGCGTTGGGGTCGTACCACCGCACTACTATTTACGATACATATACCGCCTCGTGTGCGCGCACACAACAACTTTGCAATTAATACACCTGTTCACCCCGGAAAAATCATGGACTGACTATCCGGCGTTACACCCGCTACTATTTATACTCTCCGTCGAGCCGGGACCCCCTCCCCCGCTCCTAAGCTCTATACCGATCTCTCTCTCTGTCTCGTTTCCTTGCCCTCTGTAGTGTGTGTCCATTAGGGGTTTTTCGTGCCGGGCCCACACCAGCATCAGGTATATATGTCGCAGGATTTTCGCCAACAGGGGCGGGATGTACCTTCAGGTATTTACGACAGTTTCCTCCGAGAATATGCTCGTGCGGGCGAAAAAGGGAAAGTTGTTTTTCGATATTTCGCCACGAGGCTTTTCCGGCGCGTTTGTCCGCAAAAACGAACGCGCGAGGACGTGATACTTAATACGTTATGTGTGCAAGGGCGGGAGGGAGAAACACAGATGGCTCGGGGATGTTGTTGTCGTCGCCGTCGTCGTCGATGCGGGACTCTTCGCTATTGCCGATATGGTTTACGATTTATCCAGCCGCGTTTGCATTCGATGGGTCATCGTGTGTTTTTACTTTCCCGTTCTTTCGCAATCGCGGTGCGAGCTGAAATCATGAAATCACCACCTGCTGACAATATAATACACAAATTGGTTTTTCGGCCCACCTAATTGTATTTTAATCGCTCCAATACTATACCTCCGAACACCACTCCTAAATGTTCTTGCCAATGTCTAATATATATATAATATTCATCGTGTCGGTGCTGCTTGAACTGTACATGGCTTTTCAATTTGTTTTCTAGCCAATGGTATATACGTGTACGGTCTAGATCGATGAAATTTGTGACGATCACGAGGAAATGTCTAACGATCATTGTTACACTCGCGAACAATGGATCGATGATTTTACATATAGGTAGATACATAAAAGTCTCGCGTGTTGCAAAACAACGTGTCGATCGACTGTCTTGTAGCTCCGGAAAGGCTATTTGATAACAAAACCGGCGATTTCCGCTCGAAGCGTCCTTCGAGGGTGGCCGTTTTGTTTTGAGACTTGGACGTCGATTCACCTGCGCATAGTACGTGGGCTTTTTTTATTATTTCATTTTTTTTGTTTGTTTTTTTGTTTTTCTTTAGGCAACAGACAACTGCTGGGGTTCAACCGAGAAATTGTATATACATTTTTCGATGATCCAAGCGCATTTTTCAACGGTTCGTCGACTCGATCACGTGTACATATTAAATGCATGTATATACGTCTTCAAAAGAGCAATGAACCGTGTTTTGCGGAAAATCGCTTGTGCACGAGTACAAAATCCGTGCATTGGGCGTACGTATGTACAGACAAAGGAGAGCGAAATGATGAAGTATAGGTAACGTAAGCGTCGACACGCCAGAGTCCCGCGGGAACTGTATATAAGTATAAATATGTTTTTCGCCGTGCAAATTTCCAAAAATCCCCTCGTGCCTGTGTACGCGCGTGTGTGTGTAAGTCGTCCTCTGCCTCCCCCTCCCTCAAGGTCGCTTCTCTTTTTGAAAACTGTCGAAGAGTCGATGGTTTAGGAGTACAGGCCGATCGAAAATTTTTCGGCTTGTACAGTCATCCGCACTCTCTCTCTGGGCTCCAATACTTTTAACGACACAATGTCCGTCTCCTCGAACAGCCGCGCGATACTGCGTGACATTAACACTTTCGTGCTATTAATCCAGACACAGAGACAATCAACCCTTTCTTCTTCTTTTCTTTTACCTTCAAATTATCGTGTTTTCTTATTTCCAATACCCTTGTTGCGCCCAACCGATATCGAAGCCGCTCATCATGTAGTATATTCAATTGAACGGGCCAACTTATCGTCAATTGACCTCATGCGTAATCACGAAAAATTTCTTGTGATTTACAAACGCTGGTTTTTCGGCTGTGTATAAATATATCGCTGACATGTTGACGCTGACAGAGAAACAAAAGAGGCCGATCGTGTAGGTATTGTATCGTCAATGATGCACAGCGTGACAATGACATTAGGTATATGAAATTCCAGCTATGCTGCTGTGTCGGCTATTTTTTTTTTTTTTTTTTTTCATTAAACTACAAAGAGTTTAATGACCATCGTCGATTTCGCGATGAATAAACAAAAAAAAAAATGAATGAAGAAAGCGTCGAAAAGACGCTGATGGGGTATGCAGAGGTGAAGTTGATATTATCCTCGTACAACTATGAAACCGTTTCGAGCATCAGTATTTTTGCCCAACGACTCGAAGCAGGTATTATATATATACAGAGAAAAATTTTGCAGCCCGCAACATTCCGAGTGTTGTTAGCTCTGTGTGTTCACGTGTGCATTGCTCTTTTTTTCGCAAAGGTTTGATGGTCACAGGCAGTAAAACTTTGATTACTTTCTAGTAAAAGCGTTTACGGCAAGAATGGACATGATTAATTTTTTTTTTAATCATTTTTCGCAATATTCTTTACAAATATCTCCTACTAATGCATTATTTATTCATTTCTTTTTTATTTATTTATTTTTTTTATATTACCAGTTCCAACACAGCTCTCGGTAAAAGTACATTTTGAAAAAAAAGTATTTTGATAAAAAATTATTCTGGATACCTATATTTCTCGTTATAAGTAAAGAGAACAAAAAGAAAATTCATTACGTTTTTTGGAAAAAAATTTAGTTTGCAATCGATCTCGTCCGAAAAAGTCAAAGGGATGAAAATCTTCTCCAAAATACAAAGCAAACAGGTTTACCTCTACCGGATGTCGATTATTTTTCTCCATGGTCCAGCAGCTGTAGTAATCCTTCTACCTCGTCTGGGGTGCAATAAAACTCTGTACCTGGCCTGTACTGTATTATTTATAAAATACACTCAGTATTGATTTTTTTTTTGACTTGTCAAAGTAAAAAAAAAAAAAAAAAAAAACTTGATCAAACTTATCGACAGCTATATGTTGCTTTGCAAACAATATTATATTCCGATATATGAATCGTACGATAACAATCATCCTCCTGCTATGCACATCATTCTCATTGCATTTGGTTATTATCATTATTATGTGTGCACCACAGGTTGGTTTCAAGGGCTATGGTCTCAGTGCCGAAAAACTCAAGGCCGAGGGCGTCTTCCAGTTTGAGGGTAAAGATTACGTGCTGCGCCATGGCTCCGTCGTCATCGCGGCCATCACGAGCTGCACCAACACGAGCAACCCCAGCGTCATGTTGGGCGCAGGTGAGACTACAATGTTTTTTTTTTTTTTTACGTATTTGAATGATGGTATTTGCAAAATAATGCTATTTTTTCTAGAGTAATTAAATAAAGGGAGGCTGTAGAGTCCTTGAAAAAAAATGGCATGAAAAATTTGTTCTTTTTACTGAGCGAGAGTAACGCGTTTATTTGCAGGACTCTTGGCAAAGAAGGCCGTAGCTGCTGGCCTGACAGTAGCGCCGTACATCAAAACGTCGTTGTCACCGGGCTCGGGTGTCGTCACCTACTACCTGAAGGAGAGCGGTGTCGTGCCGGCTCTTACTCAGCTCGGCTTCGACATCGTAGGCTACGGCTGTATGACCTGCATCGGTAACAGTGGACCCCTTCCTGATTCCATGGTCGAGGCTATTGAAAAGGTATGTGCGCCCTTGATTCGGGCCATGTATTAGACATGACAATTATTGACAAGGACTTTGTTGTTTCCAGAACGAATTAGTCTGCTGTGGAGTGTTGTCCGGAAATCGCAACTTTGAGGGCCGCATTCACCCAAACACCAGAGCCAACTATCTCGCGTCCCCGCTTTTGGTCATCGCTTACGCTATTGCCGGCACGGTTGATATTGATTTCGAGAGGGAGCCTTTGGGTGAACAAAATCGAACATTTTATTTATTAATCTATTTGATTTCCCTATGTTCATATCTAAAAATTACGTTATTCGTAGGCCGACGAGCTGACGGCAAGGAGGTCTTTTTGCGAGACATCTGGCCTAGCCGCGATGAGATCCAAGCAGTGGAGCAACAGTACGTTATACCTGCCATGTTCAACGAGGTTTACAGCAAAATCGAGAGAGGCAGCAACAATTGGGCCAATCTCTCTGCGCCTCCTAGCAAACTCTATCCCTGGGACGATAACTCGACCTACATCAAACACCCACCATATTTTGAGGGCCTACAGAGAGTGAGTGCACTTGAGATTTTTTTCGTTATTTATTTGCTAAAGGGTTGTTTTGCGTTTCGTAGGAAATACCGCCTATAAAACAGATCAAAAACGCTCGAGTCTTACTTAATCTTGGTGACTCCGTTACGACTGATCACATTAGCCCCGCGGGCAGTATAGCACGAAATTCTGCAGCAGCCAGATACCTGTCTAAGAGAGGGTAAGTAAAGTGTTGAACGTATTTTATTTACAAAAAAAAAAAAAAATTATATAAACTACAGCGTACGAGTTTTAAATGTTACAGATTAAATCCGAAAGACTTCAATTCTTACGGCTCCCGCCGAGGAAACGATGCCGTCATGGCTCGAGGAACTTTTGCAAACATTCGTATATTAAACAAGTTTATCGGCAAGCCGGGACCCCGGACAATTTACATTCCAACGAAAGAGGAGGTAACATCTTGGACGAAATTTCGTTTACTTTGTCGGTAACACTTTTTTTTAAAACTAATCTAAAAGTACTCCAATATTCACAGATGGACGTATTTGATGCTGCGGAAAAGTATCAGAACGACGGTACGCAGATGATTGCTCTCGTGGGAAAAGAGTATGGCTCCGGTTCGTCGCGTGACTGGGCCGCTAAAGGCCCTTACCTTTTGGGTATCCGTGCAGTGATTGCTGAATCCTACGAGCGCATCCACCGCTCGAATCTCGTGGGCATGGGTATAGCTCCGTTGCAATACGTCAACGGTCAGACAGCCGAGAGCCTTGGTCTCACCGGCTATGAGCTGTTTGATATCGAAATACCTCAAAATTGCCAGCCGGGGCAACGTATTCGCGTCAAGACAGACAAGGGTCATGATTTTGAAGTCAAGGTCAGATTTGACACTGAGGTCGATCTCGTGTACTTCAAGAATGGTGGTATTCTGAACTATATGATCCGCAGTATGATTTGAATTAATCAAAGTTTGTTCAAATCATAATGGGGAGACTTTATATAGTGGTCATGGGCATTATGAGAGAGTTTCAATCAGAGTATCTTTTTATTTTATATTAAAAAGATCCTGATTGCGTTACTTTTTTTTTCTTACTAGGCGTTAAATTTGTCTAGCGAAGCACAAAAATGTTTTGCTACAGCGTCTTAAGGAAAAAGAATAGTGTAACACTCATGTGCATCTAGATGCATTTTGTATTTTTTGTTACAAATCATTCCGTAAATTACGTTTCATTAAAGAAAATATTTATTTTTTGTTGAATAATACTTTTAAAGAATGATTATTTCCGTGTCTGGATGCTTGCCCATGACACAACTCAGTTAATATGAATTATTTATTCAGGGCCAAATGTATAATAATTGGATACACAAATTGAAAAATGTAAAATTAAAATATTGTAAATATTTTTAAATAAAAATGTTGGTGATGAATCGTGTTATTACAGAAATTTATACAAAGTTACTCTTTATTCTTTTGTTTTTTGGAACATAAAAAAATACACACGGTGAAATAAAATTTTTCTTTTATTTCTTTCAAATTTACGGAATTGAGGTTTAGCCTACGATGTAATGAGACAAGAGGAACATTCCAACATATTTGATTAGTCCTGAATGACGAATCATGAGTCGAAAAATGTAGTGAGCTAACAAGGTTTGATAAATTTTCAAGTTGCAGTATCACAAGCTGTTTTTATTCCGAGAGTTACAGGACTTTTTTGAGAAATGTAGGATTACAATAAATAAATGAATGATTATCGAATAGTTTTTAAGTCTATCTTTATGATTTTATGTAATTTTTTTTTTTGCATTTACAAAAATGAGTGACAGTGTGACAAAAATGATGACGTGACCTGGAATTGTTATCTGAAATCAAAAAAATTTATGTCAGTTTTAGGAACATTTTGTAATATAATTTATACTGTTTTCAAGATAAAGAATGAGTAGTATCTGTCATTTAACCTATTAACATTAGATGCATAAACTTTTAACGTTCCTCAAGTTAATTAACTTGGATAGAAATCATAAGATAATACATCCTCATTAGTTATCAATTTTGGATTTAGGAACATCATGAGATGTATGGTTGCTCACTACAATAGAAAAATGAAAAATCATTTGAAACTTTCAATAAACATTTAATAGTTAATAATAGAGAATATAGACTTATTTTTGAGTAACATCTGTTTGCTTATAATATTAACAATACTAAATAAACTAAAGCTCTTTGTAATTGTACGATACAATTCGTCTTTTCTGACGATATATCACATATATCATTAATACAATTAACTAATTTTCCTAAACAACAGTGAAAAATAAAGAAAAAAATTTAGCGAATAATTTTTGTCCTTTATTTTCACAACTAAAATTCACAAAAATTACATACTCTGCTATGAATTATTGATCTTATGTTATATAAACAATAACTGATCAAGGACTCTACTGTGAATACAGATATCAAATAAAAATTGATACTGATTCAGTGTGTGTAAAAATCGTATTCTTCATTAGAAGTATTAAGTGGCTCCATCCACCAGTAAATAATCAAAAACTCATTTGTTTTACAAATAATTAAAACTCAATGGTGAATAATTAATCGTCGTTTCGTTCACTATTGATTAAAATTTTAGTCGTAGTAAGTTCATCTTTCGTACTTAATTATTTCACGATAATTTTTATCAACGTTGGGCTTGCCAGTAAATTTGACTTCCACCACGTTCTGATCAGTGGCTCCATAAAGATGGCAGCTGTCAAAAGAGACACTGTAAACTGGACTGGACAGTCTCCGAAGATTCATAAAATAAAGCTAAAAATTCACGATCGCGTTAAAATGTATGATGGAAAAAAGTTCAAAAATAGTTAAAGGAACGTTAATGAGAGTAATGAAGATACCTGTATGTAATTTGTTTTTCTCTGATCCCATAATACAGCTTTACAGTTGAATTGAGTTCCTGTAACCATTGTGTAATTATAGTCAGATGATATAGAATAAACAGTTGCGTCAGTGGGATCGGACCAACAACCGACACAATTTCCAGTCCTAAAACATGATAAAAATAATAATTAAGAACGTTTTAAAGAGTATGGCAAACAATAGTAGATAGAACTTTTTCAAAGCTTATCTTTACCTTAAATCCCATTTCTTTATGCACGTATCATAGCCACAAGTTAACAAAGTATTAGGATCATCCCAAACCATGTCTAATATTCCAGCACCTCGTCTCCAGTTATGATCCACAGTAGTAGAGTTAGCAAAACTGAAAGGATAAATACCATAAAGTTTGTATCACTTTTTTTAATGCAACCCAAGATTGATCCTTATCTCACTTGTTGATATCATAAATGTTAAGAGGAGGACCGGATGTTCCTGACGTGCCAACAGCCACCTTTGTACTACTGGGATTGGCAGCAAGTGACCAAACACGGTCGCCAACTCTAACGGTGGCCAAAGGTAGGCGGGACATATATCCTTGATTCTTTGGTGACGTCCAGGCTTTGACGACGCCGTCAGCCGAGCCAGAAATAATTATATTGTTCGTTTCGTCGATAGCGTCAACGTCTCTGGAATGCGCTCTGTTAATACTATGGTAAAAGTGATTTTCCAGGTACATCATGCTCATAAGCCAGAATTGTATACTGCCATCTCTGTTTGAAAAAAAATTATAGATTTAATCACTAGTTGTTAATGAATATTCACCAAGAAAAGATATTTTAATTGAAATTACCTGTGACCGCTGATAATATAATCATCACGAACGATAAACTTGCAAATATCGCTATTAAACTCTTGGTGGTAAACCTTGTTGTTCTGATTAAATTGATCGCTCCTTAGGTATCCACACAAAGTATTTCCTCCGCTCCACCACAGCAAATCACCAGTCAGCTGGATCCAGGGCATTAATTTTGTTTGTTGTGAGAATAACACTTTTTTTTGGTAACGTCCGTTTTCCCAATTTTGAGTCACTTGCCATTTTGTGCGAGGATTGAGCAATGGGTTGCATCTGTAAAACATTAGCAATTAAGTTGGATATTTTATAAAATAAATTGCATTGGACAGTTCAAAGGCAAATCATGGATTGATACTTGTTCAATAAAATTGTAATCTATGTGAAATAATAAAACATAACTTGTTGTGTTTACAAAGTATAGAAATTATTAATAAAAGTTTCTTTAAAATCTTATGTACAAAATTGTTGATACACAATTTTTTTTTTTAACTATTTATAATGCTATTAATTACAAACTCTAGAATTTAAAAATAACAATACCGCTGGTTGCTGGTCACAGACCCTTTTAAATAAGTTTTCGACGATCGAACAGCTGTTCTGTCATAATAACAAACCAACATAACCTCAACTTTACGTATTCATACGTACCCAAGCTTACGGATACTACCAGTGCATGTACTTTTTATACAAATCTATTAATATGAAAATATTCTTGGATTTCAACTTTGCTGCAAGTACGTAATTAATATGCATATCTATAGTCAAAAGTCTCGGTCAAGAGTCAAGGTCATTGAGTAGAGAATTTTCTGCTCCAAAATGAAGCCTTATATAGGCATTCTATAGCTAACAAGTTCAAACGAAGGAAAGAACAAACCATGAAAAATAAAGTTATTATCAGTGACAATACCTGGATCGAAACCTGTTTGAAACTTGGTTGGTAGCCAAAGTGTGATCGCTGCGCTTGCACCAAAGCAAATCGTCCCGGGCGATGTAAAAGAATCTAGTGCAAACTCCGCTAAGTCTCACCAAGTCGAAGGCGTGGCAGTAGTCGAATATCAACAACAACAGCTCCAGTGGCAACTTGTCCAATTTAATGGTCTGTCCTGACGTTGGCCTCGATGGATCACCTTTTTGTTGTTGTTGTGGTTGTTCCTGTTCCTTACTGTCATCGCTCGGGTTTGTCATTGTTGTGCATCTGTCATGTTTCCCACATGTGATACTTTGAGTATAAGAGTACACCAAATTAAAAGGCTCTAAGTATATTATATATGGCACTTAGCTGTATGCTGTGTAAGCTGTATTCCGCAAATGCTGCCAGCAGTTAAGTTACGTGTAGGTCGTGGTAACGCCTCATGGGGTGTTTTACGCAATCGTCACCGCAAGTAATTTAAGGTTGCGCTCTACGTTACCATCAGGTCGGTAAGTCCACTACCTTGAATTAACTGACGCTTTGTTCCGTAATCTGGCCATAGTTAAAATAGCAGACGACAGTCAAAAGCGATGAAATCTTCACTTTTTTCTCGACTTTCACGTCGTCTGCTGTTTTAACTGCGGCCAGATTACGGAATAAATATATATATTTAGCCATATATAGCTAATAGTATACTAGCTATGGCGCCAGTTTAATTCAAGGTAGTTGACTTACCGACCTGACGGTAACGTAGAGCGCAAATCAAAATTACTTGCTGCAGGTGATGATTGCGGAAAACACCCTTCAAGCGGCGTTACCACCACGACCTACGTAACTTTACAGCCTCTGATTTTATCATTCTGGTAAAGAGAGCACGGTGTAAGATGAACATGAAGTTATGTGTAGTAATTAAAGTAATTACTACTAAGTAATGCCATATGGTCAATTTTATTAAACCATATGAATATCTATATTTTTTGAGGTCAACTTTTGAGTAAAAAATAGATTGTAAACTTGCCGCAAACAGCACAAACTACGTCAACTTTTTATTATCTATTTATAAAATTAGTTGCGGCTGGTTTATAATTGATTAAATGGCTCTAATTTTAGAAGTAATAATTATTTGGATTAGCACCATCTAGCGTCGCGAATTTCTGAACTAAAAAGTGGCCCTAAACTTTTGAACCAGAGCTTTAGCGCGTAGAGCCATTTAGTCAGTTATAAACCAGCCGCAACTAACTTTGTAGCTATAAAATGAAAAAGTAACGAAACGTGTGTTTTTGGCGGCAAGTTAACAATCTATTTTCTACCAAAAAATTGACCTTACATGTATTTACACTTTTAAAGATGAATTTATGAGTAAAAAATAGATTGTTAACTTGCCGCCAAAAACACACGTATCGTTACTTTTTCATTTTATAGCTACAAAGTTAGTTGCGGCTGGTTTATAACTGACTAAATGTCTCTACGCGCTAAAGCTCTGGTTCAAAAGTTTAGGACCACTTTTTAGTTCAGAAATTCGCGACGCTAGATGGTGCTGATCCAAATAATTATTACTTCTAAAATTAGAGCCATTTAATCAATTATAAACCAGTCGCAACTAATCTCATAAATAGACAATAAAAATTTAATATCTTTTGTGCTGTTTGCGGCACGTTTACAATTTATCTTTTATCCAAAGATTCTGGAGAGAGTAAAAAGATGGGATGATAATCCTTGCTCTCTCTTACACAGTATACACACATGCATGTATGTTTGGTTTGCAGGCTCTACGCATGACGCATGACGCATTAATGCATGCTATATGACTGAGGAACAGCGTTTTTGAGCAGTTGAGCAATTTTATATTAAAAGTACCGTATATTATAATCCGGAAAGAAAGAAAAATACTCTTGGACTTGGACTCGGAGTACTCTGAGCTTTTTCGAAAATGCTGTATAAATATATACATAGAGATACTCGTTCGTAAGTCGCCAGTAAAACTGATGACAGCCTTTGCTGAATAAGTACACGTACCCTCTAATTATACATATTTTTTCGAGCGTTTTAAATATTCTCAAATATTTTTTCGCAAGTCAAATATGCCGATTATCAACTCTTAATTCTTGTCCACAAAATATAGTAACAATGTATGTACATTTTCGAATAGATCTTGAGATTACCTATATATTTCATAAATCTGTTGAGAATGAATCACAAAATAAACGTAAAAAAGACGACCGAGTTGTTTATTAAAATGCTGAAAATGAGTTTAAATACCAATAAAAATTGTATAAGAATTATTATGATCCTTGAAACTGATTGAGTTTTATCAAAGTTACATTAGTAATTATTACCGTGCTCATAGTTATATATGTACTTATTGTCCTGTTTGCTCATTTTCTGGGGAATTAAGCTTATCTAAATAGGATTAGGGAAGTGCAATTGAACGTAATATTATACTGTGATGTTTCCATTTTATGTATATGTAGTTCAGTGTTTGTTGAGCAGTTACATCGTTAAGCGGGAAAATGAAAGCGTAACATACACGTACTCATGTATATATGTTCACAATAAATAATAAAAGCAAATAAAAGTCTGCGAAATGGATCAAGTTCATCAGCTGCAGGTTTTTCTCCCCATTGCCGGTTGCGTTGTCTAAAAGATTGCTGCACACAAATGGTAATTAAGGTGATGGTTATTGAATACAGTTATTATTGACAATAATTGAATTTTTCGCGTGCCTCGACGACACAAATTTCTTTTTCGCGCATTTATTCTTTGAAATAAAAGCTTTGACATGAAAATTATTCTTTATCATGTTAAAACCGATTTTGGGTGGTATAAAAATGTTGTATGTGTAAACGATAGTGCCTAATAACCCAATAAAAGTGAGCTTCAATCAAATAAATAAACTCAAGGCTAATGCATTAAAAGTGAAAGAGAAAAAACCAAAGTAAGACCGATAAATTGTTTATCCTGTGATTGGGCTATTATTGAAGCCTCCTAATTCCAAACGAGTTATCAATTGTGCTTTTTCGACCCGACACTGAGCCTATCTCTCGAATAGTGATGAAAACCAATCATATCTAGTCGAAATTGAGTGATTTCATTGGACATGAATCCAAATGCGTCCCACAATGTGTACGTTTAAGCTGCAGTAAGAGATGAGTACAACACTTATTCGTAAGGTATACTTACCTACGTACACGCCCGTCTCGTGTTTACAGGAGTCTGGAGATAAAGTGACCAAAGTACTCGTGTTACCTTGTACTTATTAAGTTGAAGCGCGACATGAAGTGGTACACGGTAACACTTATACTGTGCGTTTTTGGCACCCTCAAGGAGTTTCGGCCCAACGAGCCATTTGTTACCAATTATTTAACAGGTCATTGGAAAAACTTTACGGAAACTCAAGTGAGTCAATTATTATCTTTTTTTTTCCATCATAGTCAAATTGTCATTTATCGTTAACTGAGAGAAAAATTTCCTAGAACCGAGAAAATTGTTTTTTTCTAAAATATTGTACCAATGATCAACTTCTCGTGAGTTGCCAATTTCACGCTGTACTCCATACAAAGTATAATATATTATGCGTTGTCGAGGGTCGAAAAAGTCAGTAAAACGTATATTTAATGTTATCCCACGCATGTTACAGGTGAACCAAGAACTTTATCCGCTGTTGACGTACAGCCTGCTCGGCTTTTTAGTCGTGGCATTCCTATTGATCGATCTGGTGAGGTACAAGCCGGCGATCATACTGTGCGGCCTGTCCGGCGCGTGCACCTACGTAATACTCCGTTTTGGCTCGACGATACTTCACATGCAAATATCGCACATTATCTTTTCGATAATGCAATCGACCGACATAGCCTACTACACCTACATTTACGCCAAAGTCGACGAGCAGCGGTACCAAACGGTCACGAGTTGGACGAAATGCGCGACCTTGTTCGGTCGCAGCGCTTGTGGAATAGTCGCTCAATTGACTACTTCTTATGGCCTACTGGATTATGAACAACTTAATTATCTTACGATCGGAGGTGATATATGCGTACATACTTATATATATATATATATATATTTTTTACGCTCAGTTTGTCAAGTTCAACTTCTCTAGTGCACCTGTTCAAACGCAAAAGTTGTGCTTACTTTTCCTACACACAAAACCAGCATTATTCTTATTTTTATTATATGAACACAAGACAAATTGTTTGTACTCCATTACCTCACGATCTGCTCAGTTTGTAAAATGTTTTCGATCCAGCTTGCTCCCTAGCAGCGGTCTGGGCGTGTTTTTTGCCCCCAGTCGAACAGTCGATATACTTCAATAAGCGATCGAATCCTCCGTCTATGGGAGCTACATCGATTTCGATAATCAATCTGGGCGATAGTAGCAAGAATAGAAACGAAAAAACCGGACAGCCCGAAAATTTAGTGAGCCCAACCACAGGTGCTTTATCCTTCGGTGCCAAGCTACGTCATGCCTATAGTCTTCTCTGGTCGGATTTTCTCCAGGCGTACTCCAACAGGCGTGTCGTCAAATGGTCCCTGTGGTGGGCTCTCGCCACCTGTGGCTACATCCAAGTCGTCCACAACATACATCTACTGTGGATACACGCTGTCGAGGCCCAACACTTGCCCAAAGACACAAAGATTTACAACGGTGCCGTAGAAGCGATCGATACGCTAACAAGTTAGTACATGACATTTTTGTTAGCTCTTAATTACCCTCTAAAACTTTTTTCTTCGTTTTTAGTTATAATCGGTAAAAATAAAATTTTCCTATCTTAATAAAATGAATTCAATTGTGAATCAAATTGCTCTTGGAGGCTTTATTTTCTCTCAAACTAAAAATATAATTAAATCTTAACGAATAGCAAAACAACATTATTTCTTTTGACGTTTCTCAACAGGTGCCGTGATGGTCGCCGGTATAGGTACTTTGCGTTTAAATTGGTCACTGCTGGGTGAGCCGATTTTGGCCATATTTTCGCTCATCGAAGGTCTCCTTTTGGTCGCATTTTGCATAAGCTACAAACTGTGGGTCTTATACGCGGCTCGCATAGCTTTTGGAGTTATATTTCACTCAATAATAACGATCGCCAAGTAAACGAAACAATATAACATGTCTACGCCATTATCGATACATTTACAATAAATTAATCCAATCAATAACTTTTTATTTTCGTTGCGTAGCTTTGAAGTCGCGAAACGCATAGCGAAAGACAGCAAAGGACTGATATTCGGAATAAATAGCTTTTTTGCACTGTTGTTTCAAACCATTTTGACTTTGGTTGTGATAGCTTGGTTGAAGTTACACATAACATCTCAGGTGAGGATTTTCATTAGATTTTCTTGAGTGTAAAGATTCGAGTATTGAATAATTGTGCTAATTTCATGTGTGCATTTCAGTTCATAATCTATGGTGCCTACTATGGAGTACTGGGGTTACTTTTCGCCGTGATGAGCGTGTTAACCATTACAAAAGTCGTGAGAAGTAAAAATCCAGTTGCACTGTGGATTACAAAGTCTTACGAATGTGATACTATGGTAAAATAAGTAACAAGCGTACTTTAAAACACCTACACTTACATGTGTGGCTAAGATTTTTTTTTGCTAACCAAACATGCCGATATTAGTAGATTTATTGAATATTAATAATAATTACGTGATGTTTGAAAGTTTACTTATTTCTTAAAATTTTAGAAGTAATAATTATAAATAGGCATGATAGGTCATGCATCGATCCACCTCATTTCTATAAGCGTCTGCAGTTATCACAAAAAATTCAAACCTTGATAAGTTTTGTATATGGAGTACCGAAATGTAGGTAAAACAACATTATTCGTTATGATAAAAGTATGATTTTATCGACTTTTCTTTTATACTTGGTTACTTCACATTTCACAGTATATAGTATTTTTACAAATACTAAGACAGGTATGAAATGTAAAACATTTTTTGATAGCAATAAAATTTTATTCATTACACATACATGTTGATATTTATTGATTTTTACTAGTTCAACATAGTCAAATTTCTTTCAATTAGTGACATATGATTATTCAGTTTCTGTACATAATAATATATGGTCATTAACAATATCAGTCCAAGAGAAAAAAAAATACTTATTTATCTCTTTATAATTTAAATACTTTGTATAAAAATATATGAAAATACTATGCAGTTGAAAAGTTATTACTAACGGACAAAATGTTGTTTTTATGTACGATGGCACATTATAAAACATAGCCATAGAGTCTTGATAAATATATATATATGAATAACAATATCACAATGTCACACAGTTGTGCAAATTAGGTCGTGCATCATTGTTTTTCGTCTGGACCGTCACAACTAATTACCGCCTCGTTCGGGCTTTTCCATTCAATATTCTTTCGTGTATCTGCAATAAATTATGACGATGTAAAAATAAAACTGCAGTGCCTAATTTCAGAGGGGGTTCGAAACACCACTTACCGGTCTCCGGCATCACTCGCCTCAAGTAAGCGAGATGGATTATCGTGTAAGCAATCGAGGTAACCAAAGCAAGACCCGAGTAAATCTTCAAGGTGAAAATTCCGCCGAATTGCTTGTACAGTAGACCACCGATCAAACTACCGATCGCAAAACCTGAAATTTGTATAAATATAAATCATCAACAAGTATAAAAATATCAATCTCGTTTAAAGCATATTATGTATATAATCGTACCAAGACCGTCGTCCATACCGGCGACGATACCCTGCACAGTGGCCGAAGTGCCACTGGGCGCGACGACGCTCGCGTAAGCCACGATCGTGGTGTAGCAGAGCGCGTAGCTCGGGCCCTGCATGAAAAATTCGCTCAGCACGATCCACCAGGGGTTCGGGGCCAGTGAAATGAGGCCCAGCCTCAAAGCGTAACAGGCGAAGCAGAATATGAAGCTGCACCCGTAGCCGATTTTTTTCAGGATTTTGCCTGAAATCAAGTATATATTTATATACTTATATACTCGTTTTTACAAATACTGTGGGCAGTATAGGTAAGTATATTAATTCATAGAAATACATATTACCGGACAACGTGAAAAACAAAACTTCCCCTCCCAGAGTTTCGGCAAAGACCGTCAGTCCTTCGATCATTTTGATGTCGTCCATGTGGCCACTTATCATTGCGAGATCCTCAATATACCTGTATTAATCATACAACAGAGAAAAAGATTGGAAAAGTTTGGAAAAGAGCAGGCTTAAGTTTTATTTTTTGTCTTTGCTTACCAAAAGAGGAAATATATTATGAAGCTGTCCACGATGCCGACTATCGTCGCGAAAAAGATGAAAATTGCCACGGGCTTTACTTTGAGCAAGCCAAGCACGTCTTTCAAAATTGATTCTGGACTCGTCATCTTCGGCAACTATGAATCAAGTGTACTTAATAAGATTTTATTTTTTTTTTTTAAATTCTTAATAATACAATTTACTACAGTGCGAATGTGTTGTTTACACATGTAAAAAACATGTATTTGATTAGCATTCGAATGAGCCACGCTTCTGACTTCTGACACACTTATAGATACAAACTAGTATAATAAACACAAAAACCGAACTGAACACTGAACCCACCATGTGATTACAAACAAATCTATGGTTTCTTTCGAAATTTAATCCACCTTGCCGCACCCCGGACCCCGGACGCCCCGGACCAGGCCCGGCGATCTATCGGTCGGTGCATGCAGATCATGCAGATGGAGCTAGGCTAGGACATACACATGCAATAGTAAAAGTGTATTGGCTGTATTGGGTGTATATCTATAGCCATATGTGCAATACGTAGTTGCTTCTTCTTTCCTTTCGACATAAGTACTAGTCATAACTTGTCTCGCTCGTCTTTGTTGATAAAAAGCACGGTCGTAAAAAATATCTTTGCCTTCTCGTCCTCAGTGATAGTTGCCGGTGTCAGTGTTTTGTAAAACGCAGATAACATTTAAAACCAAAAAAACAACAGACAAAATATACCACGTAGCTACACTCTCTACGGCATTACTTAAATAGCTGGTAAGTCTCCGCACAAAATTTTAAACCTATTTTAATTCCTAACCACAACTATAATTTTTGGTAAAAATCTCAACCACTGCTTTTAAATAGCACTAAAAATGTTGTCAACGCCACGACAACAACAGCAACAACGACCACCACCACAACAGCGTGTGAGAATCAGAGGCGTACTCTTCCGCGTTATTGACCAGGTTCCTAACGATCCTAAAATCGACCCACCACCGAGAGCATGTTTCAACTGTTGGAAAGTCGGCCATGTATTCACGGATTGCCCCCTTCCTCAGAGATACATGTGCCCAAATTGTGGTCGCCGAGAAGTTGATCTCCTGTCGTGCCCTCGCTGCAGCAGAACTTACATCGAGTGGATGGAGGACAAGCGAAAGGTCAATCTCAATGATTATTATTGGTATAACAAGATGAATAAAAGCAAGAAAGAAGGCAAACAGTATGTTGAAAAGGGTCCAAGGGCAGAAAGGTCACTACCGGCTCGTAGATACAACAGAGGAGATGAGCAAAGAAAGGAAGTGATGGATGAGGTGTACGAGTCAGCAAGAAGTGATGTATATTCGGAAGTTTCGCAGATCCCATCGAGTGCTGGAGCTATATGCTGCAACTCTAGCGGAGGTTCGAGTGATCTGATCGATAAAGTCTCTCGTCTGATGGAGCTTATGGCTCCCTTGTCAGCCTCAAACCAGAACTTGGTTATGAAAAGCATTTTTAACAACCATGATCCAGCTGAAGATCCAAACTATCAGTTTGGCAGTAACATTGATGATTTGAATGATGAAGCAGAGGATATCCAGTATAGTTAGTTAGTGAGCATAAGATTACATTTTATTTTGTAAAAACCATTTTCTACTTTGTGTTTGCGTCTTTGAGTAACTAATGTAACTTTGAGTAACTTAATAGTCTGAAGTTTTGATGAAACGTGCTTTTATTGTGACAAAGCATGGTAAAAAAAGTTTATAAGCTTTGATATATATTTTGAAAGAGATTTTGTAATAAATCGCAATAAAAGACTTGGATTCTCAAGACTGTTTGTCCTGACGTTTCAAATTCATACTAACACTTACCTATTTCGTAAAGACAGTAGAAGAATTAAGAAAAAGACAGTTCTCACCTCCAATTTAGAGCAGCACAAAAGATCGATGCACGTAAAGACGGAGATGAGAATGAACGCGGGTGTGTAAGACTTGACGGTATCGGCACGTGACCACCAGTCCATTGCGTAGCCTGCCATGAAAGCGGTCAGTCCAAACCCCACAGAACCCCACACTCGTTGTCTGCCGTAGCTCATCTCGCCACCCGTACCTGCCACAATTTGTTAAATTTTATCTTTCCTTCTAGCTTATTGTTTTTACCACTTGTTTCACAATCTCTCAAGTTGAATTCCACAACAAACACGTCTCACCCAATACGTCGAAACATATCGCGTCACTGATACAGTTGCTGACGTTGAATCCAATGTTTCCCAAGGACATTAGCAGGACGAAACCCCAGAAGGCCATGGATTTATAAACGCAGTTGTTCTCGGCCTGGATATGACAAACTGAAGAAATTAGAATATCAGAAAAGCAGATTGGAGATGACGTAATCCCAAACAATAAAACTGTAATTTACCACGGGGGTGTCTATTTCAGAAAAACTAGAATTTGCAGAGGCACGTTGAGCGGGTAGTACCGGCAAAGCCGGCAAAAAGTACATGAGCACGTAACAGGCGCTTGTAGATGCCAGGAGAGCTATAAAGATGGCACGCCTGTGAGTACGGTATCTGTCGACTATGAAGCCAAAGCTCGGTTTTGCGAGGAAAAACAGCAAAGGTAGGACTGCCGTTATTATGCCCATCACGAAAGGTGAGACGCCCAGTTGTTTGCCGTAGACCGGCAGAAAAGGCAGGATTGGGCCCATCGCTGGAATCACAGTGGATCACTCGTTTGGAATTGCAATTCATTATTATTTCGAACAAAAATTGTACTTTCGTCATCAGCCAAAAATGATGGGTAATTTTACTCACCTGCCATAAAAAAGAAATAGTGCGCCTTGATGGGTAACTGCTTTGCGTTCACTACGATTTTCACCATCGTGGCCGAGAAATGGAGTTTAAAAAAAAAAAATCCGTCACTAATTCAACTGCTTATCATGCCCACAGCAACCGAGGATATGCAAGCGTTCGATGATAGAATGTTCACGCCTGCGCATAGTTTCAAAATGATGATATAAATTGTGAAAATTCTGATAAAGTAGACAGATAAGCACGAGATTATTTTTATCGTTTTACGATTGATAATTCATAAAGCGCGCCATTACGAGCGATAGATCGTAATCAGTAAATGCATGCAGTACTTGAGTATACAAATAGATGCACGAACTTGTTTTTGCGATTGCAAAAAAATTCCTCTTTTTTTTTTTTTATACTCGCACATAAATTTGTTTTTGAAAATTTGCAGCTTACCAGTTTATAAGAGGAATTGTTTTCTTGCTCAAAGTGGCTTACATTACAATAATTTTTGAAATACAAATGCTTAAGAAAAACGGAGACTGCACGTACTCTCGGGCCGTGTTAATTAATATGCAGCAGCTAACATGATCGTATAGCGAGGCCCGCCCCGCTCCAACGAAAATTTTTCTCTTTCCCTTATTTGGATTCGCTTACACACTTTCACAGGTAGTCCGTTAGTAAGTATGTATACTCTGGCCGTCTGGCGTCTGATGGCTGATTATAATATATATTACCGCACGTTTTTTCTCATCTGATGTGCAACAGATCGGATATGGATTGTTTGTTTCAAAGTCAATTGCAGGGGAAATACCATTAAATTTTATTTTCTAATGATTCGTATTTTGAATAATGACAAATTTTTATCCGACAAAAAAAAAGTTTTTTAAAGCAAATTTGTTTTAATTTTGGTGAAAAATTCAATTTTCATCAGAAAATTGCTCCGACTAAACATTTTTCTCGAGATATTTATTCTTTGTCGTATCACTCAAGCAGTGCAACCTATCGAGTTCTCGTTACTTAGTAAAATTAAAAAACTTGGAAATTTATTTGCTCGAAAAAATATCAAATCATCGTTAATGTACAGCGAATACAATAGAACTATTAAAACTTTAACTTTACGGCAATAAATCCGTCCAATTTCTTTGTAGATATTTTGTCGCCAAGAAAACCCACCAAAAGAAAAATGTATTAAAACGTGTATAAAAAAAATTGTTAACCATCACTGTATTCTCACACTCGCCACCGCACGTTATCTAATTTAAAAGTTACTGCGCGAACCAAATGATTATGAAAAAAAAAAAAAAAAAAAAAATTAGCCGCCAATCGTACAGTACATTTAACACGCTTGAATCTCGTCGACGACTAAGTAAGCGTATACTATAAGCTTGATAAAAAAAATGCGTCACATGAGAGTCGCTGAGAAAAGATATAACAAAAAGGGGTCCGAGGAAGCGCGAGCAATGCCGAGCACAGCCGAGTATATTTGTATACAAGTATATATGCAGCTTCTGCGGTGGATATAGGCGTTCAAAGCATCATCTTTGTATTTTTAGATCACAGCGTAGAGGTACCGGAGTATTTAGAAACTTCTTTTTTATATTATTGTGACCTCTATTGTGTTGTACGAAGATTAACTGATTTAGAAGAAATTTAACATGAATACAAAAAAAAAAAAAAAAAAAAAAAAAGAGATCAATATCGACACCTAATTTTATTTATGATGAGTGAATCTTAAGCTACAGATTTTTTTTTATAATTTTGTTTTATCGTACGAAATATTCTTTAGAAGTTAATCTTTTATTTAATCCTTGAATTGAACGCAGCTGGTGAGACTGGATTTACGAAAAAGCGATTTCTATTTGTTAATTAGTTTATTCATTTATTTACCGAAGCAGTACTGTAACTTTGAAAATTTTTTGTAGATTCGTTCCTTTTTCTGATAAGTTCACCCCTTTGCAAAAAAAAAAAAAAAAAAAAAAAAAAAAAAAAAAAAAAAAAAAAAAATAGACTTCAGAAAGATTTAAACATAATATTTCACGACGTTCATCCGGAAACATCTCTTTTTTTTCACCTATAATTAAAAAAATAAAAAATCAGTGTACGTGTAACCAAATGAAAAGAAGCAGCTGCAAAAATCAACGTCATCACCACTGCTATGCATACGCGAATTGGCATCCCCTCCCTTAATGTATAGAAAGGGAAAAGACCTCAAAGAGTGGTTCGCCACATTTTCGTGATAACAGCGGGCAACAGTCGAGCGACGTCGGATTTAGCGAACGGAAGGGGCTCCCTGGCTGAGATATCGGCTCGGCTTTTATTTTCATTCCATCAACCACTGTTTTTTTATTTTATTTATTTGATGCATTTTTTTCTATTTTTACTGCAAAGTAAAACTGTCGACGAGGTGCTCCGATAATTCGTCTAAATCAACATGAACTGATAGTGTAGGGTAGACAGTGAGACGTTCCTGAAAAATTGGAAACTATTGAAGTGTGACAAAAAGCGTACAAATTGATAAAAAAAAAAAAAAAAAAAAAAAAAATTAAAATGCATAAGTGGGTGGTTTTTGTTTTTTTAACGTGTCTGCAACTCTGGCCGAATTCCGTGGAAGCCAGTGCTCGTAAGTATTTTATTTTCCCTCAATTACTTGTCTCAGTTTAATAATAATACCAAAATTTAATTTAATTCAATACATTCAAATTTTTCCCCAATTGGGAAATTTTTTCTCAAAATTAAAAGCAACTCTCAAAAAGTAACTGCTCTGTCGATCGCAAATAATGATAATTTATATGAAAATTTACTACCTACTAAAATTAAAAAGAAAAAAAAAAAAAATCGGAGCCGTAATAAACGCGCGTACCGAGAGAGAAAGGTCATGCAACTCGACACGCATGTAGGAAGGAATATGCATACGCGGGCAAATGAGTAGAAACAGATCAGCTAATAAAATGATTATGACTCCGTGCCAACGAACAGCTGATTAGAAAATCCAACGACATTTAGAAAGTCCGTTCAAGTAAACAGATTCGCTTTCACCTCACTTTCCGAGTATGGGTGGATTTAATTTTTTTTTTTTTTTTTTTTTTTTTTAATCAATCTCTTTTTTATTTTCCACCGTTAATGTTGATTTATTTTCCATCGATTGCATAAAATTTTGGAATACACAATTTTGCGTGGTACTTATTAGCCGAAAGCATGAGTGAGCGCGTCAACTGAATCAACAACGAATTCAACTCGCTTGCAAAAAAAAAATGGAGATAATGGTTCAATCATCGTTTTCAATGATTCGTTATCAAACTTTTTTTTTCCAAAAAAATAAATTGTGAGACAAAATCATCGAATGCTAATTGCAATAAGGGTCACTTATGGGTAACAAATGACAGTCATTTTAACGATGAATTGGATGTTGTCACACATCAAAGAAAACTCGATTCTTCATTCTTATTCAATTTCAATTTCAAACATTTTAATAAGATTTCACGTCGAGGCGTCACATAAAATGTTTTGAAATGATTAAGTGCACGTATAACATACATCCAAAGTTACGTGCCATGCAAGTATTCGTACGGAAAATTATAAAAAAACTTTATAGATAAATGTTTTTCAATGTATTAAAATACGCATATTTTTAACTGCGTGGATTTAAATTTTGTTTGTTATTGAATTTCCATAATTTTTTTAATTTAATTATTTTAGTTTGCCTCAGCTCAAAAGTGAGAAAATTTATTAATGCATAATGTATTAATACAACAAGTGTACAAAAAGTTAATACTGCCTTAAGATTATTATTTGACATATGCTTCATTTACTCTTTTTAAAGATATTTGTTACTTTGCTTAATCGAAAAAAAAAACTTTTAATTATTCTGATTTTGTGCAAAACAAAATAAAAAGTAGCATGAAATGCATGATCGTGCTAATGGAAAGCTTGTACGATGTATGTCGGATGGTTGTAAACAAGAGACACAAGTCTTGATTTATAGCAGTAACCATCACGAAGATAAGACAGTGAACAGTACGCATGAATCAAAAAATTAACTTACACATATAAGCTTTCGTGATTAAAATACCCCATAACATTTTAACAATTTAATACTGTTGTAAAATCATATACGATAAATTTATATTTATTTTTAAAAGTGTTAATTATCAAAGAGATATAATTTATATTTTAAATTTTGGACGCGATACAATATGGTACGATTTTGCCATTATCATATCAGACCCTCGTTCTCTTTTCGCAATTATACATGCATTTTCTCCTCCATCGACTACTTACTTTTCGTCGATTTATAAATAAGACAACTTTCTATACTTGATCTTCTCTCGTTAATAGTATTTACATGTGATCGGATACATAGAGGTAGTTAAATCGCAATAAAAAAAAAAAAAAAAAAATAGAGCATTGAAAATTTTGTTGCGTTTCTTCAAAGGTTTATTTCATTAAAAAAAATTATTTCTCCATCATAAAATTAATGTTTTATCACAAATATCATATACGGGAAAAGTTATACTTGCTGCTCACATTGCGAAGAAAGTATTATTGTACCAATGACGTGTCGCCGTGATTAAAAATGTAAATTAAATTGGAACTTTTTGATGTTGCATTTAATAATGAGGATGCTTGAAAAAATACCAGAACCAACAGTGTTACTCTAAATTCCTGATAAGAATTTTTTTTTTTTAATCACGAATGACATTGTTTCCCCTAAAAAAATTTCTTAGCCGATCAAAGCACGATGTGTAAAAGTATAAAAATGAATTAATATTTGACCAGTTAATTTGTTTATTCGCGCAAAGTATATTTTATTAACGGGTGCACGAATCTGTTGGCAGTAAAATTTTGCACAACTGCGAAAAAGGGGTCAAACAAAAGGGATGCCCTCAATCGAGCCTGCCACGATCTCAAACTCAACTCCTCGGTCATAAATTGCGTAGTGACAGAAGATCGGTAAGGATTCGCTACGTCCACCCTTTACGATCAACGGATATTTCGATGACAAAGTTTTTTTTTTTGTTTTTCTTTATTACAGCATGTCTTGTCTTCGCAAATTAATAGCTAATGAAGCCGATTTCACGGTCCTCGAACCCGAGGATCTGCTCGTGACTACCTTGAATTACGTGGACAGCAACATTTTGATAACCCACGAGCTGAAACAGTATCCCGACAGTTAGTATGCCACGCATTGCGCGATTGGAAAAACATATTACGTTATCATTTTCTTTTGTTCTGTTTTTAACACTTGAATCAACAAAAATCACGTCAATGCCGTTTACTCGTCGTTGTTTCATTAACAAGGAATACATTATAACTCCTTAATACTTGAAGGCCACATTTTATGACATACCGATATTTGATAAGGCCGTGGTCCTTTTTTTTCTTAGATTATACTCAGTACGACGTGGAGATGGTTGCCATCGTGAGGAATAATTTCGACAACAGTTGGGTGACGACGAACAAGAAGCTGTGCTATATCGGCTTCGAGACGGGCCAAATGAGGGTGAATTATCATTATCATTACACATCGGTAAGGAAAAAAAAGACACTCGAGAAATAAGGAAGTTTCGTTTGACTTGATAATTTATGTGTTGATTCGTTATATTGACGTAGTATTTCGAGAAATGGATCATAAACAGGGAGTGTGACACGAACAAGACTCTCTTGGAAAATCGTATCGCCGATCTCTCGCAGCACTTTGAATCGGCGTGCATCGCCGGTCCTTGGACCCTCGATTCAACTTTCGATGGAGAACTGAGTGAGTCGCTCTATCCATCTGACATATTACAAATGTCACAGCAAAATTAAAATAAATCAATAAATACGTAATCTGAGTATTGAAGAGAAACGATCGGTATATCTGAAATACAAAGCATAACCGTAACTCTAAAACAAACGGAAAGAAAAAACAGATCACTAGTATAAAGGTGACTACTGTGATTTAGAATCCAAGTACCGCAACCTGTGCGCGCTCTGCGGCAACCCAAACGGCTGCTACGAGGGTGACAGATTCTACGGGATGCAGGGCGCGATCCAGTGCCTATTGGAGGTCGTCGGCGACATTGCCTGGCTAAGCAGAAGCGACGCGAGCCGGTATTTTTCGGTACCGATACTTTTTATCCTTCCAATCGCATTTGACCAACATAATATATGCTTGTACGATTAAGTTACGATTCGTGTGCTCTCGATCAACAGGAATTGGCCAGCTACGGTTACAGTCTTCTCTGCCCGGATGGTATGTTCATGCCCCTGTCCGTCAACAAAACCTGCACCTGGATCGCCGAGCCTCGTTCCGTAATCGCCGTGAGAAGGCAAGTGTGCCACGTACATCAGCAGTTTCCTTCAACTGATATGCGTTTAACAACTAAAATATAAAACGATCGATTTCAGCGATGCTGTCGAGCGCGTAATCAACAAAATCGCGGACATGAACGACGCGGGCAAAAAGTTTTACCCGGTCATCCACGCGTCGTACAAGTTCTCGCACTTGGTGAATCTCACGACGCCCGTAGACGCCGAGGGATACATGAAACGATGTAAGATTAGTTATTAACTTCTTAAAAAAAAAAAAATCTTCTTCAAAGTAAATACAATTTCTTTTCTTGTGGTGTTGGCAAGTCGCAGGATTTCTAAGCTCCAAGGTGCACTCGAATTGCCGCGAGGCCCGGACGATTCGCTGGTGCGTGGCGAGCAACGCCGAGGCCAGCAAGTGCGGCTGGATGCAAGCTGCCGCGGTCGGCGTCGACATCGAGCCCAGGATATCGTGCATCCAGCAACTCGATCGACAGGCCGCCCTGAGAGCCGTGCGCGACGACAGGTGCGATATTTTCGTCGCCAAACCGGAGGAGGAGTTGCATGCTAGAAGGTAATATTTTTTGCACGGTAATAACAATAATAGAGTACGCGTGGGGATATAGTATACATGTATTATATGATGCACATACAACGAGTTTTGTGACGGTTTAGCATGAACCTGACACCGATCGCGCATCTCATATCGAACAAGGACCTCGACGCCAACCGGTTTGCCGCAATCGTGCGAAAAGACGCCAAGTTCATGAGCTTTGCCGAGCTCAAGGGCGCCAAGGCCTGCTTCACTGGTTACAAGAGCGTAGGCTGGAACGCTTTTTTCTCCATCTTGAGGAATGGGAGCTCGGACGTGGATTGTTCGGACACCAGGGCGATGGCGCGGTTCTTTGGTGACAGTTGCGTTCAAAGGATTAACGAGAGTGACGCCTCCGTGCCCGAGAGCCTTTACAGACTGTGCAACCAAACCAAGTTCGACAGAAAACTCGGGCCCGAGGAGAACGCGTTCAAGTGCTTGATGAGCGGAGGTGACGTGGCTTTCGTCAACATCAGCGCCGTTAAGAAGTATTTTTCGAGTAAGAGGTGCACCATTTTTTACACGTCGGTCGGTGTACTAATTCTGGATTGTTTTTTTTTTTTTTTTTTCTCGTTGCCAACAGCTTTCGGGATGTTTGGGATGAATTACAAGCTGCTCTGTGAGAACGAGACGCTCGAGAACCCGGAGCCATGCTTTTTGGCTGAAACAACTATGGGATCGGTAAATTTTTTCATTTTTCAAGTATCTTTGCAAAACACACTGACCGCGTGGGTGGCTCTTAGGTGTTGGCGAATAAAAACGCATCGAATGTGAAGAAGGAGGATATATTCCTGATGCTGTTGGCTCTCGACCGATTCTTCGGAAAGACCCACGATCGCGAGACTCCGATGTTCTCGCTGTACGGCCCGTTCGAGGGCGAATCGGACGTTATTTTTCCGGTATGCTTGGAAATTTCATAATTTTTCTGGTTTTCCAAGAATTCATTAACCATCTGACAACGTGTTATCCCGTTACAGGATAGGACGATGCATTTACAAAAGTACGCCCGTGATTTGAGACATGGCCGTACTTATGAGGACGTTCTGGTCAGTCTTCAGGAGAAGATCGAGTGCAAGTCGTCGAGCGTGGCTTTGAGCTTCAGTTTGCTTCTTGTTTCGGCTTTGGCAATTTTTAGCCAGTTGTTGGTTTCATTGTAGAACTATTACTGTTTATTTTTAAGTCGGATGATATCACATGCAAGAGTGTTTTCCAGTTGAATTAAAGAGCAATTCTACTGCTGTTTTATTTAAATTATTTTACAAATGTTTAACGCTTTTGTCTTTTATTATCTGCGAGTCAAAAATAATTACACCAATCATGGTAATGATTTACTTTAAAGAGCGTATATTTAAACAAGTGGATTGATATTTTTTTTTTTTTTTTTTTTTTTTTTTTTTAAGTACATTTTGGACGGAATCGTTACTCAAAGTGACTAGAAATTTTGTGTAATAAACAATTGATACATGGATGCTCGTCGAATACACGAAAAATATTTTTTGTACTACCCAATATGTTTGGTGTAAACAATCATAAAACTATGTTAAAAGAGAAATGACAGTCTTTGAATATTAGATTGTCATTAAACTACGCATAAAAGTTAACAGAAATTAAAACTACAAAACTGTAACATATCTTAAGAATGTATCAATTTCCTGCGTTAAATCGTCGTGATGCGAGATGTAAAAATTCTTTTTTAACTTGTGAACCTCTACGTTGCCTGTATCAGTACCTAAAGCCTGGAATTAGTAATGTTTTATAACAAAATTTGTTATGATGAAAGAGTTAAACAATGGATTATCAAAGACGTTAAATTACCAAGTATTGACTTGACATATCTCGATTTGTATTGCAAGGTGACAATCTCATACACTTGACGTGGCCCCAACTTTTTGTTGAAACAGTATGTGATGGATGTATGTCACTGTTACCAAGATTCCACACAGCAATCCTGAACATAAATTTTTTTTGTCAACACTGTTATTTTGTTTAAAATTTTAATAAAGTACCTGGAATGATTATCTAGTACATAAATGGTCAACGGTTTGGATTTCGACCATTGAATACTTTTTATGCCAGCTGAACTATGTTCATCTTTTATTCTTAATATTGGTGTTTCAACATTTAACGAATGCAATCTAATACTTCCATCATTACATCCAGCCTTAAATACATAATTAAATTACAATTGGCTGCAAAAGTGTATTTTTCCAAGATTTCATGAATATAACTTACAAAGAAATACGACTGTTTGAATGGACAGACTTCAAGACAAGTTGTGCTACCACAAGAATCTGAAAATTAACGTATTAATATTTTATAGTGACCAAATCTTCATAAATCCTAATGAATTACCTATTTCATTGATCTTGTAATAAAGTATATTATTCTTTACTCCTGCGCAATTGGTATACAAAATATCTGTACCATTGGTTGCTAAATACAAGTTATTACTATCGACGTTGTCTACATTCATATCAATAAACTGTTTGTTCACATGACTAGACTCGTTATTCTTTTTAAACAAAGGCACTTCTTGACTCTTGACAAGCCTCACTTTTCCCCACTGTGACAAGCCCAGATCATCAATGTTGGAGCTAAGATTACGTAAAACACTCCATATGATTAAATGACCCTCTTCATCCAAACTACAAATCTGAATGGAGACGAATTTGTCATTCAAGTTCTCTGTGTCCTCTTGATCAATCTTAGATATTACTCGAATAGCTATTACTGGAGACTTGTGTCCTTCAATTTCCCAATTTGCAGCTGTAGTATACGTGGCGCTACGCACTACCCAGTCCATTTCGTGGACTTTGTCTATTATTTTCTGATGCCACGTTTCTTCTTCTCGCAAATCCCACAGGCAAATCGAGCTAGAATTGTTTTTTTTTTTTTTTTATTGAATAAAGAATTTAGGAACAGTAGAGTACAGAGAATTTCAGCACTTACCCATCTTCAAGACCAGCAAAGATGATGTTGCTATTTGTACAATGGAAGCAACAAGCAGAGATGGGACTCTGTGAGAAAAATAGCTTTATTGGTCTTGATGGTTCGTTGACATTCCAGACACAACCAATACAACAGTCCATTATATAATCTTGTTTACTATCAGTTTCAGTTTTCTAAATTTGAAAAAAAAAATACATTACGATTTTTTCTATTGCAAAATAAAAAAAAAAAAAAAAAAAACAATATCTTTCTCACCTGACTGACTGAAGCATGAATACTCATTAGTATTTTATTATTAATTTCCGAATAATGCAGCACTAGGACTTGCCTGCCACACAAAAACGATAATGAACTAACTGAAAGTTTAATGAAGCCCTCGCTAAAAGGGTACTCGTGCGTGTCATTTTGCAAAATATTTCCACCAGATTCTTTTTCTTCCAACAAAGCTAACATGACTTTCCCGGCTCTACTCAAGAAATCATTTAGTTTTAAAACATCATACAATGGATTAGCTAATGAAACGTCATCGCCACTATCTCCACCGACGCCTACATGCTCGATTTTAAAAAGTTTTACATCATCAATTGTTTTCAAAATATTTCTACATTTTACAGGGAACTGCGTCCACTTGTTTTCAGACTCATAATTGTCAGTCTGAATTTCCACATCAAGATTATCTTCATTTGTTTGTGTGTAAGTCTAAAAATTTTTGAAAATCAACAGTGCTGCCTACAAAACTGCAAAAAAAAAACCCAAGATTTAATTGTACCTGTTGAGTATTTAATTTTCCATAGCTTCGAATAAACTCATCGTAAGAAATTGGAGTTGACTCATACAGTGACCACTCAACGGTATCAAATTTAATCATATTCATAATTATTTGGCCTCTTGTTAATTTTTTTCGACGCACTTTTTTAGATGATTTTAATTTTTCAAGATTCACAAGAGTGATTTGTGAGACTGATGGTGATTTCACAAAATCACCCGAACGTAAATCTTCAAAGCCTTCATCAGTCGATGAAGGCAGGGATTTAACTTCGGCATGTTTTTCCTCTCTGTTGACCAAATCAATTTTTCTATGAATTTTATTACAGCTGTAATTTTCATTGATTTGTAAGTAAAAATAATAAACTAAGCAAACCTATAAGACTGGTTGTTTGGTTCTTTTGCTTCAGACACAAGTTGTGTAGTTTTCATAGTGTTAATCATCAATGAATCAATCATAATAGCTCTTTTTCTTGCCTCAGTTAGTTCAGAGTCTAATCCACGCTTTTCCTTACTCTTGCGAATGTCTGCACTGACTACTAGCTTCCTCTGATAATTAAATGTAATTCAAATGTATGAACAAAAATTAATATTCATTAAGTACTGATGATTTACATTGCTAGTTTTTGAGCTTACCCTTTCTTCTGTATGTAACTCAATGGGCTCTAATTTCAAACTTAGATCAGTGTGCTCTGACTCTTCACTTATATCTGTACTGTCATCATCAAAGTCAGACTCATAATCCTAAACAAATAAGATAATTTTGACTGAATTAAAAAATACTTTAAAATATAAAGTTATCTTGCTACATGCACGGCTTTTAATTGTTTCATGCAAAACTTTACACGTCAATGAAAAGTCTAACAAACGTATTATTGTACATGCAATTTATTCACATGATTCTTAATGCAATAGATTCAATTACACTTTGAAATACCTCAAACTCATCTTCATATGGTGTATCCTCATCAATATCACTTTCAGTTTTCACAGATGTCCCATCATCCTCATCTTTACAACTATTTTTAGCTATATTAACAACAGGCTTCAAAACCTTAATCTCACTAGGACTCAAAGTTCTCGAATGCTTACGTTCTCTTGAAATTCGTCTGGAAGATGTTTCCTCTGATCTTTTGGACTTACCTTCAACTCTCTTGGCCTCCATCGATTTGGTTAAGCTTCTCAGCCGGCTGGCTGCATCTTTGGGAGCATAAATGGAACTCGAGCCTCTCACTTCATTATACAATGACTTAGCTTTCTCGCGACTACTCATCTGCACACTTGCTTTTGTCTTACTACCAAGGCTCTCATACCTGGCAAGGCTTTCAGACTTTGTTTTAGAAGCTGTTTGTCTTTTTGAAGTGCTTGCAGCAGGTAAAGGCTTTTGACTGCTCGAACTGGACAAAAAGGCATTTTGCTTTGATTTCAATAGATTCCTTTCCGGCAAGATATTCTTATTAACTAAAGTAGATCCAGTCTTTGTTTTTTTGTCTCCCAAGGCTCTAACATCCACTATCTGTGGCTCTCTCCTTTTCTCCCTCCTGTCATCTATTTGGTTCAAAGTTTTGGACGACACCTTAGTTCTTTGTAGACTTTGGCTCTTGTGCTCCAAATCTGTCTTTTGCAACTCTCTCCTCTCAGCCTTTTCATCTTCAGTCTCACCAGCAACTTGACTAGTCGATTTCACCTTGACCTTCAACGAGGACTGGCTCTTCAGCTGACTTCTGGGCTCGGTTGTTTTCTTGATGGCTCCCTAAAAAACAAAATGACATTTCACACATGAGCATTAAATCCAACCCAGACCATGGCAAAAGAGTTTCGTAAAATATTTTTGCAAATTCAAGAGTCGCGTATCGATTGGACAGCAACAAATGAGGTTATCTATTGCGATAAGATTCAATAAAATCCATGGCTAGTTTATAACCTTGATTTGACATACTTGCTTGTAATTGAAAAAAAAAAAAGTACGATTTCAGTGATTTATTCGGTAAAATAAAATAAGGATGAGACACTCACCTTGTTCGACATTATGCGACCAATTGATTTGTTACATTTGTCGTGACAGTCGTGAGGAGCGCCATGACGCTCATTTGATCGAGGAGCGGTTGATATATATGGTGTGTACCCAAACAAACAGACGACAGTTCAGAGGAACCTTGTATACATATACATACTTACATATAAATGTACACCTGTGTGACTGTTACCGATCATCGATTGCAGGTAAACTTTCGATGCATATAGGTATGTTTATTGGATTAAATAATTCAGAAAATGTAAAAATCTATGCGTGCAGTGATTTTAACTATATATAGTTATTATTAACTGTACGCGTAGATTTTTACATTATCTGAATTATTTAATCCAATAAACAATGATCGCTATAAATCGTTATATCGATCGTTTGGTTAAACACAACATACAAGTGTACCAACGAATAAACTTCACGTAGTGGATACAGAGAGCGATTGTTTAAATAAAATTAAACAATCATTTATTTTATTCAATTTGATAGTTAAATTTTTTTTCTTAAATTATTTTTCTTATGCATCGGGCTGGAAAAACTGAACCATTTCGAATCTGGATATCGACATACCTACTTTTTTGATTGTTTCGATGAATAGCAACAACTTCACCTCTGTTTTTTTTTTTCCTTTTCTTTTGCAGCCAATAAACAGTGGTGTTTTTTTTTTTTTACATCGAAAAAATTTGAAAGTGTCCTGAATCGGTATTGATTAGAGAAAACAAAATTTTTTTGGCATGTTTTTTTTTTTTTTTTTTTTTTTTTTTTTTTTAAGTACATTTTGGACGGAATCGTTACTCAAAGTGACTAGAAATTTTGTGTAATAAACAATTGATACATGGATGCTCGTCGAATACACGAAAAATATTTTTTGTACTACCCAATATGTTTGGTGTAAACAANAATCTAATTATAGGTAAAAAATATTGTAGCTCATGTGAAAGACACGTTAAATGTAACTTTTTGTATTGATCGTAAAAAAATCCAATAATTTTTAAGTATGTATTGAAAACATGCTCATGACATTTTTTATTTATTAGAATGCTCATATTTAAACTGCAACATTACAGCATAAAATATACAAAATTTTTACCGCTAGTTATTATATCTTTAAATAAATTTTTATAAAGTTATGATAGCATAACATATCAATAAAAAATCTATTTTTGAAATTAATATAAACTTTCCTAAAAATCAACAGGTATATAATTTTTAGAGAAAATAACAAACAATGGCCGCACCAAGACGAAGTAAAAAGCGCGTGAGAATCCAGTCGAGCAACGAAACGAAACCACACTACAGAAGCACCAAAAAAAGATCCAAAGTATATAATGTACAATATTACTTGTGCACATTTACAATATATGAAATTTCTTACGTTAACTGATCGATATTTGGGATTGCCTTTTGAGTTGCATTATGAAAAATCATTAAATAAAATAGCTGACAAGGTTAATCCTGTGTGCGCGTATATATGCCAAAAATAACACAACAATCCTGGATTAGCTGAAATCTATGGGAAAAACATAAATATAATCAATGGAAAAAAATAAAATAAAATAAATAATATCAATGATAATACTTTCGAAAACAGCCCCAAAGTAAGAAAAAGTCGATTCTGAAGAGTAAAATCGGCGGAAAAATCGGATGCCAGCCGCGACGGCTCACGGTATCGGAGCTCGTGTACTATTATCTGGAGAAAGCGTCAAGATCGGAGGTAGAAAAACGCAGGAAAGGCAACGCGGCAAGCCGGTTTCGAAGAAATCAGCGACGCAACCGGTCAAAAAGACTCAAGCCCGCCAGACGAGTGCCAAGTATCGTTCGATCTTTCGCCGAAGATGACGATGAATCCTTCTTGCCTAGACCATCGAAAAAAGGTATACTTGGACGGTTTGAATACCATTTTTATGTATGAAATTTGTGTTTGTCCCTTTCATTTCAATAATAAGTGTTTTTTTTTTTTTTTTTTTTTTTCTTCAGCCGAGAAGTGTATCTACGATTTGCTGCTGTTCGGTTCCGTCATGGGTTTCCTAGAGCCGGTAGACAAGAAAGGGATTGTGTTTCGAGTTACTTCGGATCTGAATCTTTTTGACAGAGAAACCTCGAAAAATGAGGAAATCGGCGAACCTTACGACTTTGAGGACAACGGGACAACGTATTACACTTAAATGTTTTACTGCGGTTATAAATTCATCGTGAAATAAATTTTCAAAACACATATATTCGTACTATATATAGTTCCTTTGCACACGCAAATGAGAAGCATCAAATTGTATGGTTACAAATTTATTGACTCAAAGAAATTTAACAAAAAAGTATACATCTGTATTTTTTGGATCTGGTCGTTTTTTTTTTCTCAGAGAAAATTTTTGTCATACAATTAAGTTATCGATGAACGAGCTGTCGAAAACCGTTACTTTTTTTTTTTTTCTGAAGGAAATTACGTTCATTGGTTCGATTTCGAGATCAAAGATGCTTGAATTCCTTGGACCGTAGAAAATTGTGGCTTCCACTATTACACGGCCGTTGGGATTTGCCTGCCGAATAAACAAATTAATAATGTCATCAATATTCACTGCAATGGTTGGTAAAACATCAAAAAAGGGCCCTACCATCGGTTTCGCTGCCATTTATATCGAGAAATGAATCGGCGACCAAACATATCTTGCGTCTTCGTGGCGTAGTTGTCGCGATCGGTTGTCGATCGGCAACGGCACAAGGACACCGTTTCCTCGACGACAAAGTCGTCATGTCGGTCAAACTGGAACAACTGGCAAAACTCGATTTCGGCTTGGATATCACCTCAACGGCTGGCTTGCGTTTCTGTGGCTTTACATGTTTCGGAATATCTTTACCATGCCGATGCCGATCGGTACAGTTTGAGGAGGGATTTTTTAACGGTGGTTGCAGCATCTAAAACGTCAATTAATTATTCGATGGTGAACCGCTGATTCACGTTGTTTGAGGTCATGACTTACGAAAGCAGTCGTGTATATGCAGCACAAATACGAGATGCAGGCGATGCATATACTCACGCCCAAGAGGTCAATCATTTGACATTTTTGTCAAAGTTTTGTGTTTGAGGTAATATATCTTGGAGGCAAAGCAAAAGCTAAAAAGTTGTACTTTTTTTTGTTAGGTTAAAGTTAGAAATTCATGAAGAAAAAACAAACACTTTTTATGACGCGCGCAGGTCATATACCAAACTGAGGAGTGAAGTTGATCGCGCATGAGATTCGAATGTAACATCTAATAATTTGACATACGAATGTATATTATCGCCTTTACGGTACCTGCTGGGTATTGTAATATTCTCTTTATTTTCAATTGAAGCCAAATACTTAGAAAAAATAAATAAAGAGTCAAAAAAGATTAATTATATTTTCGATAGATTAGTTTTTAGTGAGGTAAGTTCCAAGAAAAAAAAAAATTTTGAGCTGAGCTTCGTCATAATATATAATCATCAATCAATTATTTTTAAACAAAACAGTATGAAACATAAGTATCAATCATTCATATGAAAATAGTTTGTGATGCAATATCAAATTCAGAGATATTTTTAATTGTATTATAAATAATGAATTCTTAGGCAATAATTTTATATCATCATACGTACGAACAAATTTTGTCTAAAAAATAAAATTTATTTGGTTTTATTATACGAAAACTTTTTTCCTCAGCAATTTCTTGCATAAGTACTGTGTACAGCTCTGAACTTTTCACTGAAAAATGTTTCATAATTTAAAAGAGTTTTAAGATATTATGGACGAATTCAAGCGTGTCGTTAGATTATTTAAATATATTTAATAACGTTTCAAATCTAATTATAGGTAAAAAATATTGTAGCTCATGTGAAAGACACGTTAAATGTAACTTTTTGTATTGATCGTAAAAAAATCCAATAATTTTTAAGTATGTATTGAAAACATGCTCATGACATTTTTTATTTATTAGAATGCTCATATTTAAACTGCAACATTACAGCATAAAATATACAAAATTTTTACCGCTAGTTATTATATCTTTAAATAAATTTTTATAAAGTTATGATAGCATAACATATCAATAAAAAATCTATTTTTGAAATTAATATAAACTTTCCTAAAAATCAACACTCTGAATGCCTTACTCGTTGGTAGGTATTTCCTTTGATTTATAGGAAAGGTATTGTCATCCTTGTTATTATCTTATTGTCGCTCAATCCGATTAGCCATGGACTCCCGAATTTTCCTATCGAATTCTTCCTTCGACACCGATTTACCGTTCCAAGTGTACGAGCCTGATCTGGATTTGTTTTTGAACTTTTCGAATTCTTCCTTCGTAGCGGGTTTTCCATTAATGATAAAGGAAGACGAAACGTATCGATGGGGCTGTGGCTGAGGTCTTCTCGAGGATTCGAGATTCAAATTTGGCCGGTTATTGAATCGTTCGTATTCTTCTTTTGTAACTCGTTTCCCATTAACTATATGGACAGGCGAAGTTTCTCGACGGGGTTGCGACTGAGGTCTTCTAGAAGGTCCGTGATCCCATAGTGGCTGATTTTTTAACTTCTCATATTCTTCTTTCGTAACGCGTTTGCCGTTGACAGTGTACGAAAAAGAAGTTTCTCGATGGGGTTGCGACTGAGGTCTTCTAGAAGGTCCGTGATTCCATAGTGGCTGATTTTTTAACTTCTCATATTCTTCTTTCGTAACGCGTTTGCCGTTGACAGTGTACGAAAAAGAAGTTTCTCGATGGGGTTGCGACTGAGGTCTTCTAGAAGGTCCGTGATTCCATAGTGGCTGATTTTTTAACTTCTCATATTCTTCTTTCGTAACGCGTTTGCCGTTGACAGTGTACGAAAAAGAAGTTTCTCGATGGGGTTGCGACTGAGGTCTTCTAGAAGGTCCGTGATTCCATAGTGGCTGATTTTTTAACTTCTCATATTCTTCTTTCGTAACGCGTTTGCCGTTGACAGTGTACGAAAAAGAAGTTTCTCGATGGGGTTGCGACTGAGGTCTTCTAGAAGGTCCGTGATTCCATAGTGGCTGATTTTTTAACTTCTCATATTCTTCTTTCGTAACGCGTTTGCCGTTGACAGTGTACGAAAAAGAAGTTTCTCGATGGGGTTGCGACTGAGGTTTTCTCGAGGGTCCGTGATTCCATAGTGGCTGGTTTTTGAATTTTTCGTATTCTTCTTTNAAAAAAAATGTACATTGTTGAAAAATTAGATGGAACTTCGTTTCAAATTGCCTGTATTGTAGGCTTCATAGTTCATAATTTTATCAATAACATTTAATTCAAGTCTTGATTCTTTTGAGAATTTTGTTTTATTTATAGGAGTTGATCACCATCTAGGGTATTAGCACTTACTATATTCATTTGAAATTTTACAGTATCATAAGTTTCAAATACGTACAGTGATGTAACAATCTAGTTATATTTTTCACGAAGGTATAATCGAACCCGATATTGAGATGCCACAAGACGTTGCAAAACGATACTCGCAAAAACGATATTTATAAGTTTCACAAAGGTAGCGTCAATAACGTACGTCTCGCAAAGCCCACGTAATAGTTTATCCAAAGAGAAAAAAAATTATTTTTGTAAAATTGTAGTCAATATTTAACACATTATATATATACAATGGCTTATTTATTAGATAATCATATAGTAATTGTAATTGATTACAACTGATTATTATAACATATGCTAAAAGCAACTTATCACATTATTTGATTACAATATAAAGTGGGTAAACTTTTAAATTTTAATTCTTAAATAATAACATCAATTTTTAAAAAGTGGTAATAGCAATAAGTTTAATACGAAAGAATCTGTATTCATCAGATCTAACGTATTTATAGGAATTTATCTCGAGAAAATTATTTTCCTTATTGCTGTCGTTTGGACAAGTAGGCTTGGTACTCCTGTTTATTCTTTTCGAATTCTTCCTTCGACACCGATTTACCATTCAAAATATACGAGCTTGATTGGTGTTGATTTTGGGCATTTTCATATTCCTCTTTCGTCACTGGTTTTCCATTCACAGAATAGGAGTACGAAGTTTTTACGTGTGATGGTGACTGAGGTTTATTATAACTTGACTCTGATCGACTATGATGATTTTGTGTAGGATTATTTTTGGTTTCATAAACTTTTACACCGCCAATGTTGCCACCTGGTGAATAGTTGCAGACAAGATAGAATCTATTGTAGTCCGCTTTCTTGTACTTGACAGCTCCACACCCAATTTTAGTAGTTCCACTCCAGACCATTTGCGTAGAAGAAAAATCAAGCCTCTCATTTTCGGGTCTACTGATTAGTTCGAACTGAATTTCTGAACGAAATTGGTGCTTATTTTATAGTTGACGTCTTATCTTATCGTTTTAATGTCTATAATTGTGAGGAATATGACTCGGGCCTAGGAATTAGTAAGCCTCACCTCTTTCTATCAATATTATTTAAAGCAGTAAAATGCAAACATAAATGGAAATTTTATGTACGCTTAGGGTACGAAGGTTGTGTGCCATTAGTACAACGTTAATTAGAATCAAACCATTTACGTCATACGGCTTTTCAAGGCTTCAAGGCAAATCGATTTTACTTGGAAATACCGTACTGTGATCAGCTGAATTTTACAGTTTTATTTTTCGATTATTAGAGTCTTATTGCTCTTTTTCCAGATTTTACAAAGTTCAGCCACAGTTTTCAATGATTTGTTAGAAAACATTCTGTATCATTTATATGAGCTTTCATTTTTAAATAAATCGTCTTCTTAGACAAACTTAAGCTTCATTGTAGGCTTCCACGTAATGGTGCATAATTACTTGAGTACTACAATAACACAAGTTTTCATAGCATCGGGTCAACGTCATATACTAATGATAACGTCTTTTTAAATTCGAAAGTCGAGTACAATTTTAAATTATTAGTATTTTCATTGGGATAAGTTAGATTTTTTTTAAAATTATTTGATACACTTAAAATTATCTGGTTTATTATAACCTTTGCTTGAAGTGATAAGTTATTTTAAGAAAAAATTATAGCCTAAACGTACAAAAAAATCTTATCTTGAATTAACAAAAAGATGTTGAGAAAGTTCTAATGATTAGAAATTTTCTTACGTGGTGTAACTCATTAACATTGTTCTTACTACTTGTTTACCAAGTTTGAGTTTTTATTTATTTCGCAGACCAATCTGTAGAAGCCATTCGAATAATCCATGTTAAATGCGTAAAAAATAGCTGGCCAACTTTTAAAATTTATCTGAACATCTTTTGATAAAGCTATACCTAGTATTTATTTAAAAATTTATTTGATAAAAGTTGAATGAAATTTCTTGCATTAATTGTTCGTGGTAAAAGTATTATCGTGCTTTTTAAAAATAATTGGTTATGTTAAAAGCATACAACCTTCTCATATTCTTCTTTCGTAACGCGTTTGCCGTTGACAGTGTACGAAAAAGAAGTTTCTCGATGGGGTTGCGACTGAGGTTTTCTCGAGGGTCCGTGATTCCATAGTGGCTGGTTTTTGAATTTTTCGTATTCTTCTTTTGTCACTCGTTTCCCGTGAATGGTATATGGGTACAAAGTTTCTCGGCGAGGTTGCGGCTGAGGTCTTCTGGATGGCTTGTTATTATTACTTGCCGAAGGTTTACGATTTTTATTTTTTTGAGGTCGAATATGCCGATTTTGCGTTGGGTTATTTTTAGTATCATACACTTTTTCGCCATACATATTACCTCCTGGACCGTAATTACAGACCAGATATAAAGTCTTTCTGTCTCCATCATAGTATCTAACAGCTCCGCACCCAATTTTGTTAGTTTTACTCCAAACCATTTGCGTGTAGTGACCAACGGCTTTGCCGGAAATACCCTGTAATGTGCGCCCATCGAAGCTGTCTACTTCATTGTACCAATTCATAATCAATTTTTCAACTTTAATAGTTTTGAAATCGCCAGTAGTCCATTCGTACGCTATGTTTTGACCAACATGTTCTTCTTTCACTGAAATTTTTATATTTGTTCGAGTCAGGATTTTCCGATTTTTGTATTGGAATTGAATAAACATAAGCTTTTTGAGACGATGTATGCTAAGTTAATCATTTAGGTAATCATGTTATAATAATATATTGATATTACAATTTTGATAATATTAATAATCTTACGTGTATTTTTGCATTGATCGTGTTTGTAATTGCATTGATCGGCCCAATGCTGAGCTATACGGGCGATTTCGTTATCCCATACCTGAAAATCATACAGTCTTTGATAAGCAAATTCAAAATACTATTAAATAATGATACCGTTTTTAGATACGACAAAAATTTTTAGAATAAAAAAAAGAACATGAAAAATCATAGTTAGTTTCATTCAATTGCAAGAATAGGCATGTAGAGACTAGTATCAGATCAAAAGTGGAAGTAAAAAATTACCAAATTGGCCATTTTTCTAGTTGCTGTTGGTGGTTGTGGTCCCGGGGCTCCACGCACTTCTTTCCCACTGGCAACCTTCTGCCTCAGCTGATTATGCAGTTTAACTATCCGGTTTTTTTCATCTTGGGATAGCCCACTTGAAATGAGTCTTGCGCATTTGTTGGCGGAGGACTAAAAATTAAATTAAAGGCACTTCATATTTGTCTTTCAAAGGTTACTTAAAATCATGTATGTTCATGAATTTTCAATGTCTCGAGTATATTTTCTTTGAAAGTTCAAGTATCAAAGTGAGAACTTTCTTCTCCTTGCAATCTCCGAACTTGTTTTAAAATTGAGTGCAATTTTTTGAGAAGAAATATGAGTTTTTTTGTATGACGAGGTATGGAATTCCATACCTGCGAATATGCAAGATTTTTCCATGCATCTTTCTCAGTGAAATTTACATTGTCTGTTTGAGATCACAGAATAATATGTACTTTGAAATGTAAGAAAAGGAAAAAAGTAACTTACGTAGGCACAGAGGGTGTGTTTCTCGTCCTTTTTGCAGCTCCGCAAATGGCAGTACTGCTCGTACTCGGCACTGGTGTAGGCCACCACCACCAGAAGAAAAATCAAGCCTCTCATTTTCGGGTCTACTGATTAGTTCGAACTGAATTTCTGAACGAAATTGGTGCCTATTTTATAGTTGACGTCTTATCTTATCGTTCCAATGTCTATACTTGCATGACGCACAACCTAGGCTTAGAAATTTACAAGCCTTACGGTAGCATGATAAACTTACACTTAAAATTTATTTTATTTCAAACTATTTGTTGCAATGTTGATTTTATTTTCGTTTACGCATGATAACGATATTTGCATCTCATTAGTATCATGTTAATTAGTATTAAATTATTTGCGTCCAAGATGTTTTTAAGCTAGTGGAGCTGATAGAGATAAGAAGTCCTCACGTGGCAATGTTATGCTGTTGTGTGCATCTAACAGTAAGGATGAATTTTTTCGATTATTAAATTTTGTTTGCTTCATTTATTCACAGTTTTGTATTAAGTATCCTTTATAAAGTACAGCCATGATTCTGAGACCTCCAGCTGTGACTTCCCGTGTCCATAACAATTTTTCGAGAACATAGTTACACTGTATGGCTGTGTGGACAAGTAAACAAAAGATAACTTTGGATAGTTAACTTGGAATTGGATTGAATTAAAAACATTAAATAAGGACATTTTTCTCACTACAACGTTTTCTGGATGCTTTTTAGCCGCGACCTCGAACCTTTACATGAAACGTGCGATTCCACGGAGTCGCATGACTGTTGGCCACCAAGAATTTACGGTGGGGACGGTGCTCGTTGTTGGGCCAGGGGTATCTCCCTACAAGGTCAAGGCTGGACGAGGAGTGATTCATCGAGGTAATAATATCTGACGTTTCGACGTTGGCTCATCTTGCCCATGCACCGTTTTCGTCGTCCTCTGGCTGATAAATTTCCCGTAAAGCGGATTGCCATTTTCGTCGGCGCCAAAATATAAGTGTTACTAACTATATTCGAAGTATATAAATTTATTTTAAGCAATACTGTAAATAAAATTAATATTTTCAACCNTTAATTGTATTATAAATAATGAATTCTTAGGCAATAATTTTATATCATCATACGTACGAACAAATTTTGTCTAAAAAATAAAATTTATTTGGTTTTATTATACGAAAACTTTTTTCCTCAGCAATTTCTTGCATAAGTACTGTGTACAGCTCTGAACTTTTCACTGAAAAATGTTTCATAATTTAAAAGAGTTTTAAGATATTATGGACGAATTCAAGCGTGTCGTTAGATTATTTAAATATATTTAATAACGTTTCAAATCTAATTATAGGTAAAAAATATTGTAGCTCATGTGAAAGACACGTTAAATGTAACTTTTTGTATTGATCGTAAAAAAATCCAATAATTTTTAAGTATGTATTGAAAACATGCTCATGACATTTTTTATTTATTAGAATGCTCATATTTAAACTGCAACATTACAGCATAAAATATACAAAATTTTTACCGCTAGTTATTATATCTTTAAATAAATTTTTATAAAGTTATGATAGCATAACATATCAATAAAAAATCTATTTTTGAAATTAATATAAACTTTCCTAAAAATCAACACTCTGAATGCCTTACTCGTTGGTAGGTATTTCCTTTGATTTATAGGAAAGGTATTGTCATCCTTGTTATTATCTTATTGTCGCTCAATCCGATTAGCCATGGACTCCCGAATTTTCCTATCGAATTCTTCCTTCGACACCGATTTACCGTTCCAAGTGTACGAGCCTGATCTGGATTTGTTTTTGAACTTTTCGAATTCTTCCTTCGTAGCGGGTTTTCCATTAATGATAAAGGAAGACGAAACGTATCGATGGGGCTGTGGCTGAGGTCTTCTCGAGGATTCGAGATTCAAATTTGGCCGGTTATTGAATCGTTCGTATTCTTCTTTTGTAACTCGTTTCCCATTAACTATATGGACAGGCGAAGTTTCTCGACGGGGTTGCGACTGAGGTCTTCTAGAAGGTCCGTGATCCCATAGTGGCTGATTTTTTAACTTCTCATATTCTTCTTTCGTAACGCGTTTGCCGTTGACAGTGTACGAAAAAGAAGTTTCTCGATGGGGTTGCGACTGAGGTCTTCTAGAAGGTCCGTGATTCCATAGTGGCTGATTTTTTAACTTCTCATATTCTTCTTTCGTAACGCGTTTGCCGTTGACAGTGTACGAAAAAGAAGTTTCTCGATGGGGTTGCGACTGAGGTTTTCTCGAGGGTCCGTGATTCCATAGTGGCTGGTTTTTGAATTTTTCGTATTCTTCTTTTGTCACTCGTTTCCCGTGAATGGTATATGGGTACAAAGTTTCTCGGCGAGGTTGCGGCTGAGGTCTTCTGGATGGCTTGTTATTATTACTTGCCGAAGGTTTACGATTTTTATTTTTTTGAGGTCGAATATGCCGATTTTGCGTTGGGTTATTTTTAGTATCATACACTTTTTCGCCATACATATTACCTCCTGGACCGTAATTACAGACCAGATATAAAGTCTTTCTGTCTCCATCATAGTATCTAACAGCTCCGCACCCAATTTTGTTAGTTTTACTCCAAACCATTTGCGTGTAGTGACCAACGGCTTTGCCGGAAATACCCTGTAATGTGCGCCCATCGAAGCTGTCTACTTCATTGTACCAATTCATAATCAATTTTTCAACTTTAATAGTTTTGAAATCGCCAGTAGTCCATTCGTACGCTATGTTTTGACCAACATGTTCTTCTTTCACTGAAATTTTTATATTTGTTCGAGTCAGGATTTTCCGATTTTTGTATTGGAATTGAATAAACATAAGCTTTTTGAGACGATGTATGCTAAGTTAATCATTTAGGTAATCATGTTATAATAATATATTGATATTACAATTTTGATAATATTAATAATCTTACGTGTATTTTTGCATTGATCGTGTTTGTAATTGCATTGATCGGCCCAATGCTGAGCTATACGGGCGATTTCGTTATCCCATACCTGAAAATCATACAGTCTTTGATAAGCAAATTCAAAATACTATTAAATAATGATACCGTTTTTAGATACGACAAAAATTTTTAGAATAAAAAAAAGAACATGAAAAATCATAGTTAGTTTCATTCAATTGCAAGAATAGGCATGTAGAGACTAGTATCAGATCAAAAGTGGAAGTAAAAAATTACCAAATTGGCCATTTTTCTAGTTGCTGTTGGTGGTTGTGGTCCCGGGGCTCCACGCACTTCTTTCCCACTGGCAACCTTCTGCCTCAGCTGATTATGCAGTTTAACTATCCGGTTTTTTTCATCTTGGGATAGCCCACTTGAAATGAGTCTTGCGCATTTGTTGGCGGAGGACTAAAAATTAAATTAAAGGCACTTCACATTTGCCTTTCAAAGGTTACTTAAAATCATGTATGTTCATGAATTTTCAATGTCTCGAGTATATTTTCTTTGAAAGTTCAAGTATCAAAGTGAGAACTTTCTTCTCCTTGCAATCTCCGAACTTGTTATAAAATTGAGTGCAATTTTTTGAGAAGAAATATGAGTTTTTTTGTATGACGAGGTATGGAATTCCATACCTGCGAATATGCAAGATTTTTCCATGCATCTTTCTCAGTGAAATTTACATTGTCTGTTTGAGATCACAGAATAATATGTACTTTGAAATGTAAGAAAAGGAAAAAAGTAACTTACGTAGGCACAGAGGGTGTGTTTCTCGTCCTTTTTGCAGCTCCGCAAATGGCAGTACTGCTCGTACTCGGCACTGGTGTAGGCCACCACCACCAGAAGAAAAATCAAGCCTCTCATTTTCGGGTCTACTGATTAGTTCGAACTGAATTTCTGAACGAAATTGGTGCCTATTTTATAGTTGACGTCTTATCTTATCGTTCCAATGTCTATACTTGCATGACGCACAACCTAGGCTTAGAAATTTACAAGCCTTACGGTAGCATGATAAACTTACACTTAAAATTTATTTTATTTCAAACTATTTGTTGCAATGTTGATTTTATTTTCGTTTACGCATGATAACGATATTTGCATCTCATTAGTATCATGTTAATTAGTATTAAATTATTTGCGTCCAAGATGTTTTTAAGCTAGTGGAGCTGATAGAGATAAGAAGTCCTCACGTGGCAATGTTATGCTGTTGTGTGCATCTAACAGTAAGGATGAATTTTTTCGATTATTAAATTTTGTTTGCTTCATTTATTCACAGTTTTGTATTAAGTATCCTTTATAAAGTACAGCCATGATTCTGAGACCTCCAGCTGTGACTTCCCGTGTCCATAACAATTTTTCGAGAACATAGTTACACTGTATGGCTGTGTGGACAAGTAAACAAAAGATAACTTTGGATAGTTAACTTGGAATTGGATTGAATTAAAAACATTAAATAAGGACATTTTTCTCACTACAACGTTTTCTGGATGCTTTTTAGCCGCGACCTCGAACCTTTACATGAAACGTGCGATTCCACGGAGTCGCATGACTGTTGGCCACCAAGAATTTACGGTGGGGACGGTGCTCGTTGTTGGGCCAGGGGTATCTCCCTACAAGGTCAAGGCTGGACGAGGAGTGATTCATCGAGGTAATAATATCTGACGTTTCGACGTTGGCTCATCTTGCCCATGCACCGTTTTCGTCGTCCTCTGGCTGATAAATTTCCCGTAAAGCGGATTGCCATTTTCGTCGGCGCCAAAATATAAGTGTTACTAACTATATTCGAAGTATATAAATTTATTTTAAGCAATACTGTAAATAAAATTAATATTTTCAACCGTACAAAATAATTATTCATGGCTATTCGAATGAACCAGATAATTCTGTTCCATTAAATGGCCGTTGCCGAAAAAAATGTTTTGGCAGCCGAAATTTCGAGACTCACTCTATGTTAATTGTATAAAATCTTATGGAACATGTTAATAGTATTAGTACATTGAATTTTAATCGCGATTTTAGCACACGCTGTCTAGCTTTAACATCTCATATTCTCACACATGAAAGAAAAATATTTTAAAATTGTTTTTTAAAATTTTTCTGGAAAGTATATTAACCATATCTTTATACATTTTTTAAGTCAATAAGGGTAGTTTAATTAATCGAATGAATATAGTGTCGATGATATTTCTCAACGAGGGTGGTGGTCGCTCAGACTATCTACTGATAGCGTAGGTTGTTTATTCCTGCTTTTTATGTCAACGACACGACTACATGGAGCTGAGATAATTAAGTCTCATTTTTCAAGATCTTCGCTAAAAGCCGATGTGTTTAACTATTTAGTCAAAATAAATAAAAGTCTAAAAAATATAATAAAATCTAATGAGCTAGTAGGTTATTGCTAACTCATGGGAGCCATAAGTGCTAGTTGTTCGAATTTACTCTGATCATTGTGGGCTTATTTTTCTCACTAGTAGAATTGCGATAGAGCTTTAATTTAATCTTATTTCCGATTACGTGGAAATCAAATAATGCAACAGTTAACATTGGACATTGAATATGGATGATTATAAATAACCAACAAATGTATGTTTTTGTTTTTTATTTTTAAATTTTTATAACTATTTGAACCACTACAGGAATTAAGGCATTATATATTTTTTTAATCTTATTATTTTCTCCACACCCAATTTTAGTAGTTCCACTCCAGACCATTTGCGTGTAGTGACCAACGACTTTGCCGGAAATACCCTGTAACGTTCGCCCGTCGAAATATTGTACTTCGTCGTACCATGCCTGAACCATATCCTCAACTGGGATAGAACTGACATCGCCAGTTGTTTGTTGGTATGCAATATTTTGACCCACGTACTCTTTTGCTGTGGAAAAAAATCAATTTAATATTAAAACGAAAGATTTTTTACTTTTAATTAGAGTTAACATTAGGCATACAATAAATTATTATTACTTTAATATCAAAAGTGTTTAACAAACATAATTTCTATATCGATCAATTAAATCTGATTTCAGAAAAAATTTATAACTAAAGATAATCACAATGATAAAATTACAGCAAATAAATAAAAAAAAAAAAACTTTATTTTTTATCATGAATGTTAATGTGAAGATAAAGTAAATTAACATTGGTAATTTTTGTTTGATAAATCGGTTTCAGAATGTGATAAATTTATGATTGAAATATCATTATGACGATTCATTTATTGATCAGATTCATTATAAACCCGATTCAGATGTACGAGACAATAAATTGAAAAAAGCTCGTACTCGGCACTGGTGTAGGCCACCACCACCAGAAGAAAAATCAAGCCTCTCATTTTCGGGTCTACTGATTAGTTCGAACTGAATTTCTGAACGAAATTGGTGCCTATTTTATAGTTGACGTCTTATCTTATCGTTCCAATGATGTATATAATTGGTAATGAAATACGTGCTTTTTTTGGCTGTCACGTTCTTGTTGTAATGTAAAAGCTATTTTTGAAGCTGCATTAATAGATATTGCTGTATAAGTAGGTGTCGATATAGCTATCGATACGCGTAAGCAAAGCATCATTTTTAAATCTTTATAACAGTTGTATTATTAGCTATTATATTGATGAATTTTGGTAGCCGTTTTTTTCAGTTGTATTATTAGCTATCGCTGGATCTGCAGATACGCGTCAACAAAGTTATTTTTTTTTCAGATATTTGGCATAGTTGTATTTTTAAAAATTATTTTCATGTATTCTGTTGAATGTTTTTTATTGTTATGTTATTAGCTGTAAAGCGTAATATAAGAACCTATAATAGTTATAAATATAATCTATAATTGTAGCATATGTTTTTTTGGCAAACCAATTTGAATTACAAAATAGTATACAATGTTAAACAAATTCTTTCTCAGTAAAAATGAATGGATATTTTTTTAAGAAATGTTGAAATCCTATCTTTAGTCAACGACCTGATAAAAACAAAATCATTCTTTCCAAATACGATGCATCATCAATGACTAACTTAAGATAGGTGAAAATTCCGAAGTACCATATGTCAGTGATACAATAGGTACATCTACATAGATATTTTCGAAATTTTTTAACTTAAGTAAGTTAGCCATTTACGACAAATCATACTTGGAAAATAATTTTATTTTTATGAAGTGATTAACTGAAGATTTCTAATTGCGTCCAGTTTTAAATTCAAGCTTTTCTTAAAAAAGATAATCACTAAGTAAACATTTCTTTTATGTATAGTAATAATTAATATACTGATTGGTGAATAGTTATAAAATTATTATAAATTTATAAACATTTCATAAAAATATACACTGATTGTTATTAAAAAATTTCAAAATAAAATTAAAAAAAAAAAATGTACATNGGGGTATCTCCCTACAAGGTCAAGGCTGGACGAGGAGTGATTCATCGAGGTAATAATATCTGACGTTTCGACGTTGGCTCATCTTGCCCATGCACCGTTTTCGTCGTCCTCTGGCTGATAAATTTCCCGTAAAGCGGATTGCCATTTTCGTCGGCGCCAAAATATAAGTGTTACTAACTATATTCGAAGTATATAAATTTATTTTAAGCAATACTGTAAATAAAATTAATATTTTCAACCGTACAAAATAATTATTCATGGCTATTCGAATGAACCAGATAATTCTGTTCCATTAAATGGCCGTTGCCGAAAAAAATGTTTTGGCAGCCGAAATTTCGAGACTCACTCTATGTTAATTGTATAAAATCTTATGGAACATGTTAATAGTATTAGTACATTGAATTTTAATCGCGATTTTAGCACACGCTGTCTAGCTTTAACATCTCATATTCTCACACATGAAAGAAAAATATTTTAAAATTGTTTTTTAAAATTTTTCTGGAAAGTATATTAACCATATCTTTATACATTTTTTAAGTCAATAAGGGTAGTTTAATTAATCGAATGAATATAGTGTCGATGATATTTCTCAACGAGGGTGGTGGTCGCTCAGACTATCTACTGATAGCGTAGGTTGTTTATTCCTGCTTTTTATGTCAACGACACGACTACATGGAGCTGAGATAATTAAGTCTCATTTTTCAAGATCTTCGCTAAAAGCCGATGTGTTTAACTATTTAGTCAAAATAAATAAAAGTCTAAAAAATATAATAAAATCTAATGAGCTAGTAGGTTATTGCTAACTCATGGGAGCCATAAGTGCTAGTTGTTCGAATTTACTCTGATCATTGTGGGCTTATTTTTCTCACTAGTAGAATTGCGATAGAGCTTTAATTTAATCTTATTTCCGATTACGTGGAAATCAAATAATGCAACAGTTAACATTGGACATTGAATATGGATGATTATAAATAACCAACAAATGTATGTTTTTGTTTTTTATTTTTAAATTTTTATAACTATTTGAACCACTACAGGAATTAAGGCATTATATATTTTTTTAATCTTATTATTTTTCTTTTTTTTTAAATCGTATTATTCCTACCTTCACACCATTTTGTGTGATTTTTACGGGCACCCTCTAAAATCTATATACGGGGGGTTTTGATTCTAATCCCGTTTGTACAACATCTTTTCATTTTATTTATAATTATACACAATTTGAAGAAGTTATGATGATAAAAAACATAAATAAAAAATTAGTGTAACGATTGACAAAAAAGATTCGCAAAAATTAATCTCGAACCCATCGGCTGTGATGATTTACTACTTATCGTGAAGAAATTGTTTTCCTCAATGTTGTAGTTCAGACAAGTAGGCTTGGTATAGCCGTTTCTTATTTTCGAATTCTTCCTTCGACACCGATTTACCGTTCCAAGTGTACATGCTTGACTTGTATTGGTTTTTAAACTTTTCAAATTCCTCTTTTGTCGCGGGTTTTCCATTCACAGAATAGGTAAACGAAGTTCCTTGAGGTAATTGTGGCTGAGGTCTGGGCTGTGGCTGATGTAGCCAGTAATTGTTGTAACTTGGCTGAGTGGGATACTTTTCATTTTGCTGAGGTTTGTAATATTGATTTTGTTGAGGTTGATAATTTTGATTATTTTGAAGTTGATCATGATGTTTTTGTGTTTCATAAACTTTTACACCGCCAATGTTGCCACCTGGTGAATAGTTGCAGACAAGATAGAATCTATTGTAGTCCGCTTTCTTGTACTTGACAGCTCCACACCCAATTTTAGTAGTTCCACTCCAGACCATTTGCGTGTAGTGACCAACGACTTTGCCGGAAATACCCTGTAACGTTCGCCCGTCGAAATATTGTACTTCGTCGTACCATGCCTGAACCATATGCTCAACCGGGATAGTATTGACATCGCCAGTTGTCGATTTTTCGGCAATATTTTGACCCACATATTCTTCTTTATCTGAAATTTTTATTTTAAGTTTGAATGTTTAAGTTTTTGTTCTGAAATTTGAAAAAGAAACAATTTTCTGAGATGAACTGATCTTTGCTAATAATTAAGATAAAAAGTATTTTATAAATTTTTTTCGTACAAAGTAGACAAAAGTGAGTACACTTGAGAATGTACACATGTTAAAACTAAAATTAAAATTAATATTGATTGTTGATAAATAATTTTACTTGTATTTCTGCATTTGTCGTGTCCCCAGTTGCATTGATTGGCCCAGTGCTGAGCTACACCAGCAATTTCTTCATCCCATACCTGAAAATTGTATAGTACTTGATTAACAAATTCTAAATGCTACCAAAAATTAAATCATAAGTAAATAATTTTCTTCGATGGTAAAAGTAGGCATACAGAAAATAATATCAAGTTCAAAGTGACAGACAAAAATTACCAAATTGGCCATTTTTCTAGTTGCTGTTGGTGGTTGTGGTCCCGGGGCTCCACGCACTTCTTTCCCACTGGCAACCTTCTGCCTCAGCTGATTATGCAGTTTAACTATCCGGTTTTTTTCATCTTGGGATAGCCCACTTGAAATGAGTCTTGCGCATTTGTTGGCGGAGGACTAAAAATTAAATTAAAGGCACTTCATATTTGTCTTTCAAAGGTTACTTAAAATCATGTATGTTCATGAATTTTCAATGTCTCGAGTATATTTTCTTTGAAAGTTCAAGTATCAAAGTGAGAACTTTCTTCTCCTTGCAATCTCCGAACTTGTTTTAAAATTGAGTGCAATTTTTTGAGAAGAAATATGAGTTTTTTTGTATGACGAGGTATGGAATTCCATACCTGCGAATATGCAAGATTTTTCCATGCATCTTTCTCAGTGAAATTTACATTGTCTGTTTGAGATCACAGAATAATATGTACTTTGAAATGTAAGAAAAGGAAAAAAGTAACTTACGTAGGCACAGAGGGTGTGTTTCTCGTCCTTTTTGCAGCTCCGCAAATGGCAGTACTGCTCGTACTCGGCACTGGTGTAGGCCACCACCACCACCAGAAGAAAAATCAAGCCTCTCATTTTCGGGTCTACTGATTAGTTCGAACTGAATTTCTGAACGAAATTGGTGCCTATTTTATAGTTGACGTCTTATCTTATCGTTCCAATGTCTATACTTGCATGACGCACAACCTAGGCTTAGAAATTTACAAGCCTTACGGTAGCATGATAAACTTACACTTAAAATTTATTTTATTTCAAACTATTTGTTGCAATGTTGATTTTATTTTCGTTTACGCATGATAACGATATTTGCATCTCATTAGTATCATGTTAATTAGTATTAAATTATTTGCGTCCAAGATGTTTTTAAGCTAGTGGAGCTGATAGAGATAAGAAGTCCTCACGTGGCAATGTTATGCTGTTGTGTGCATCTAACAGTAAGGATGAATTTTTTCGATTATTAAATTTTGTTTGCTTCATTTATTCACAGTTTTGTATTAAGTATCCTTTATAAAGTACAGCCATGATTCTGAGACCTCCAGCTGTGACTTCCCGTGTCCATAACAATTTTTCGAGAACATAGTTACACTGTATGGCTGTGTGGACAAGTAAACAAAAGATAACTTTGGATAGTTAACTTGGAATTGGATTGAATTAAAAACATTAAATAAGGACATTTTTCTCACTACAACGTTTTCTGGATGCTTTTTAGCCGCGACCTCGAACCTTTACATGAAACGTGCGATTCCACGGAGTCGCATGACTGTTGGCCACCAAGAATTTACGGTGGGGACGGTGCTCGTTGTTGGGCCAGGGGTATCTCCCTACAAGGTCAAGGCTGGACGAGGAGTGATTCATCGAGGTAATAATATCTGACGTTTCGACGTTGGCTCATCTTGCCCATGCACCGTTTTCGTCGTCCTCTGGCTGATAAATTTCCCGTAAAGCGGATTGCCATTTTCGTCGGCGCCAAAATATAAGTGTTACTAACTATATTCGAAGTATATAAATTTATTTTAAGCAATACTGTAAATAAAATTAATATTTTCAACCGTACAAAATAATTATTCATGGCTATTCGAATGAACCAGATAATTCTGTTCCATTAAATGGCCGTTGCCGAAAAAAATGTTTTGGCAGCCGAAATTTCGAGACTCACTCTATGTTAATTGTATAAAATCTTATGGAACATGTTAATAGTATTAGTACATTGAATTTTAATCGCGATTTTAGCACACGCTGTCTAGCTTTAACATCTCATATTCTCACACATGAAAGAAAAATATTTTAAAATTGTTTTTTAAAATTTTTCTGGAAAGTATATTAACCATATCTTTATACATTTTTTAAGTCAATAAGGGTAGTTTAATTAATCGAATGAATATAGTGTCGATGATATTTCTCAACGAGGGTGGTGGTCGCTCAGACTATCTACTGATAGCGTAGGTTGTTTATTCCTGCTTTTTATGTCAACGACACGACTACATGGAGCTGAGATAATTAAGTCTCATTTTTCAAGATCTTCGCTAAAAGCCGATGTGTTTAACTATTTAGTCAAAATAAATAAAAGTCTAAAAAATATAATAAAATCTAATGAGCTAGTAGGTTATTGCTAACTCATGGGAGCCATAAGTGCTAGTTGTTCGAATTTACTCTGATCATTGTGGGCTTATTTTTCTCACTAGTAGAATTGCGATAGAGCTTTAATTTAATCTTATTTCCGATTACGTGGAAATCAAATAATGCAACAGTTAACATTGGACATTGAATATGGATGATTATAAATAACCAACAAATGTATGTTTTTGTTTTTTATTTTTAAATTTTTATAACTATTTGAACCACTACAGGAATTAAGGCATTATATATTTTTTTAATCTTATTATTTTTCTTTTTTTTTAAATCGTATTATTCCTACCTTCACACCATTTTGTGTGATTTTTACGGGCACCCTCTAAAATCTATATACGGGGGGTTTTGATTCTAATCCCGTTTGTACAACATCTTTTCATTTTATTTATAATTATACACAATTTGAAGAAGTTATGATGATAAAAAACATAAATAAAAAATTAGTGTAACGATTGACAAAAAAGATTCGCAAAAATTAATCTCGAACCCATCGGCTGTGATGATTTACTACTTATCGTGAAGAAATTGTTTTCCTCAATGTTGTAGTTCAGACAAGTAGGCTTGGTATAGCCGTTTCTTATTTTCGAATTCTTCCTTCGACACCGATTTACCGTTCCAAGTGTACATGCTTGACTTGTATTGGTTTTTAAACTTTTCAAATTCCTCTTTTGTCGCGGGTTTTCCATTCACAGAATAGGTAAACGAAGTTCCTTGAGGTAATTGTGGCTGAGGTCTGGGCTGTGGCTGATGTAGCCAGTAATTGTTGTAACTTGGCTGAGTGGGATACTTTTCATTTTGCTGAGGTTTGTAATATTGATTTTGTTGAGGTTGATAATTTTGATTATTTTGAAGTTGATCATGATGTTTTTGTGTTTCATAAACTTTTACACCGCCAATGTTGCCACCTGGTGAATAGTTGCAGACAAGATAGAATCTATTGTAGTCCGCTTTCTTGTACTTGACAGCTCCACACCCAATTTTAGTAGTTCCACTCCAGACCATTTGCGTGTAGTGACCAACGACTTTGCCGGAAATACCCTGTAACGTTCGCCCGTCGAAATATTGTACTTCGTCGTACCATGCCTGAACCATATCCTCAACTGGGATAGAACTGACATCGCCAGTTGTTTGTTGGTATGCAATATTTTGACCCACGTACTCTTTTGCTGTGGAAAAAAATCAATTTAATATTAAAACGAAAGATTTTTTACTTTTAATTAGAGTTAACATTAGGCATACAATAAATTATTATTACTTTAATATCAAAAGTGTTTAACAAACATAATTTCTATATCGATCAATTAAATCTGATTTCAGAAAAAATTTATAACTAAAGATAATCACAATGATAAAATTACAGCAAATAAATAAAAAAAAAAAAACTTTATTTTTTATCATGAATGTTAATGTGAAGATAAAGTAAATTAACATTGGTAATTTTTGTTTGATAAATCGGTTTCAGAATGTGATAAATTTATGATTGAAATATCATTATGACGATTCATTTATTGATCAGATTCATTATAAACCCGATTCAGATGTACGAGACAATAAATTGAAAAAATGATTTAAGGGTAAATAAAGGTGTGTCTAAATCGAAACAATAGATCTTGGCTTCAGATTATCTTGAAAAAAAATCAAAGCAATATCAATTACACTAAATGTATCAACCAAGTATATTCAAATCCAGGAATTAATCGTTTAGGACCACGCTGAACGATAAGACTTATGTTTATCACATTGATGATGGTAGTTATAATAATAATAATAATAATACTTAGTAACAATAGTCGTAAAAATAATAATAAAGTAATAAAAATGATAATAATGGTAATCAAATTGCTAATAGTAGTGACAATAATAATAATCAATAAGCAATTGGAAATATATAACATTAACGGTAATCGATTTGATATTATTGATGCTAAAATGATCTTACGTGTATTTCTGCATTTATCGTGCCCCCATTGGCACTGGTCAGCCCAATGTTGGGCTATCATGGCAATTTCATTATCCCATACCTAGTAGTCATGTGGTTTAGCATTTTAGTATTCACTATCATTTTTACGAAGTTTTTTTATGACGAATATTTTGATAGAATGAAAATTACCAAATTGGCCATTTTTTTAGTTGCTGTTGGTGGTTGTGGTCCTGGGGCTCCTCGTATTTCATTTCCACAGGCAACTTTCTGCCTCAGCTGATTATGCAGTTTTACTATCCGGTCTTTTTCATTTTGGGACAGCCCACTTGAAATGGGTCTTTCGCATTTGTTTTGGTAAGTCTAAGAATAAAAAATAGTGTAATTAAAGATACACATTGCAAAAGGAAACTACTTAACTATTATGAAAAAAATATAATCAGTAGTGAGTGTCTTTACAAATTCACAAACGGTGTGTGGCTTTCCTTGGCAGCTTTGTAGACTGCAGTATTGAGCACTGGCGTAGGCGTAAGACACGACGGCAAAAAAAAAAATTAAACTCCTCATGATGTTGTTAAGCTCGAACACTTTATAAAGTAACGAATTTTTTAAAAGAAACTTATTTTATAGTAGTTTTTATCGCAGTGATTTGCATATCTGTAAAACGTTCATTTAGATCATTCAAATTTGCATCTTTAATGTGAATTAAATAATGAATTTTTAAATCACTTTAACTTACGATAATTCGGTTAATGTATTTTCAGGCTGTTGGAGGCATAAAATTTTTACAAGTGTATACTTGTGTCGAAGCATGCGGGAAAATTATTTCTCAAAATATGCGTTTTATTATTTTATTGATTAAAAAAGTTTTTGTGCTCGAAATTTAATAAAGTACAATTACAGTTCCTAATGTTAGACCGGAAAATGTTATATCATTTATTAAATTTTTTAATGCCTGTCGTAAATATTAATAAATATTATTAACAATGATTTTTAGATAAATTCTCAAGTTTTATTCGAAGTTTTGTTCATTGGTTTTTATTCAGTACACTCATTCCCTAAACCAACTAAAAAGTGAAAAATTAAGTTAATAATAATAGCTGAAGTTGAGTAATAGAGTAAGATGAATGCATAAATTTACTCTTATAAATACAGATATATACATTTCAAACAACTTATTTTTGTAATTAGTACTTTGAGATTTAAAAAAAAAATTAGATAATATTTATGAACGCATGTTTCTCATCAGCTAAAATCAGGATGTAAAAAAATAATAATAAATATTTAGATGATAGATGGTGCAGGTTAAAAATTACCAGATTTGTGATTACTTTGGGGTTAATGTTGACAACTAAAAAATCTGAGTCTTACCTAAAAAATCTTGTTTATGGGCTTATAATTTGGTACATCAGGTAAATTGAGCCTATTCGATTTCATCCACCTTACTTGGACAGCTATATTTAATAATAACTTTTCTATTGGCAAACTATTTAAATAGTAGTGTGAATTGTAATATCATGTTGAGAGATTCATAATTTTCATGATTTTTTTGTACTTTACAGTTTTATATTTTCTGGAAAACTTTTTTTAATGCGTAAGAATTTTATTACCTTTTATATTTTATAAAAAAAAATTTCGAGGTACACCTCAAGCCTTGTACGTATTTTGATGAAATTATTGAACTTTATTGTACAATCTTTTTGTTAAATAATAAATTTGTGATCATAAGACAACTAGTGTTTAAAATTTTAGTACAAAGTAATGAAATTTTAAATTTTGTATTTAAAGTACAATTAAAAAATGTTGTTTAGGTAATAAATAACTATGTGGATCGTATCATTAAAAAAAAAAAACATCAATAATCATCGTCAGTTAGCGAATTTCGTAAACTGCCTCACTAATCATATTCCCAGCTGGCCCGTAATTGCAAACGAGGTAAAATGTGTTGAAATTCCCGTCTTTGTATTTCACTGCACCGCAACCGATTTTAGTTGACTTTGCCCACAACATTTGAGTATAGTGGCCGATTGGAAAACCGCTTACACTGGTGCTTCTGTAAATAAATATTATTGAGAGTAATTTAACACTTCAGGAGCGGACAAGTATGTATAAATAACAATGTAAGTTTACCTAAAACGAGTGATATCTTCTCTGCTGCAATGCTTGACTTCGTCGTACCAAGACATCACCATATCTTTGACCTTGAGATCATAAACGTTTCCTGTAGTTGAAAGACTGGCAATGTTTTGACCAACTTTAAAACGCTCTAAAAAGAAACTTTTTTTATTATCGATCCATGATTACTTTTTATATTAGCATGCTTTTGAAACAGATTGGAATTAAAATTATGTTAATAACACCAGAAAGTGCTGCAAGATATAAGACGAATATATGACCTTGCAATGCTTTTCGAAGTTGCTTACATACATTAATTTCATCAGGAATTATATTCACCGGTATAAGGGTATTGCATAAGAAAAAAAAAGTCCGTCAGATAGCGTGGCCCTGCCCAAGCGATAATAGCGTTTTTTTTACGTTTACAAGTTTTAATATGCTTATACACATGTATTCTACATAAGCATACACGTTGAAGATACCATAATCAACTTGGCATGACAATACCAGCATTTTTGTAATAAAACCTTATTAGAAAAGTATTTTTATGTGTAGGTCTGTCCGCTCATTTGAAAATTAAAAATTAGTTAATCACTAATGTTAAGTGTAAGAAGATACCTACTGATGTGTCGATTATTGTCATGGCCCCATATACATTGATTGGCCCACTTTTGAGCGACTGTTGACAATTCTTCGTCCCATTCCTTGAAACGATCATTGTTTTTTAAAAAATATAGTTGATAATGCTTGCTTACTACAGAAAATTTATAAGAAAATAGTATTAATGATTTCGTACGTACAACAACAGGCATGTATCTTGCTGGAGGCTGAGGTCCCCTTGGATATCCGTTGGTCTCCTGGCCATTTGCTACTTTTTGACGCAATTCGTTGTGTAAAGAGGTAATCAGTATCTTTTCATCGTTCGTAAGCCCAGAATCGATTATGCGATTTGTTTGTGATCCACGAAACTGTTGTGTTAATTGTTTACAATTGCATTAGTCATGTTACATTTTTAAGAATTACAAAAACATTTATCGTTGGATAAGGGGTACTTAATCAATAACTAAGACGATAATCTTGAATGATAATATTGGAGGTGCTAAATTAATCCCGTGATCTTAAAGTGTTATCATACTTCTTTCCGGGTCGAATAGTTTATGACCTTGACGCATCAGTTACTTTCGTAAAAGTAAAATAATGTACGTTTATTGTAAAATGTTTTATACATTAAAAATGATCAACTTTTCCACTTTTGGTTGATTTTCTATTATACGCATTTCAGATTTTTAGAATAAAATTACATGAATTTTCGCATGTATGACTAAAAATATATGATGCTTTCAAACTAAGCAGAAAACTATCAGATTACTTGTACAAAGAAATTGTCAAAGACCGTTGATTTAATTATTGAACGACAATTTATTGTAAGCTGATTTTTAATAATACAGATTACGAAATAAACTCAGTTGAATCAAATAAACAACAAAAATTTACAAACAACTCACGTTGCACATGACAAGTATTTAAAGCTTTTAATACGGGATAGATTTTTAAGAAAGTAAAGATAATAAGACACAACTGCAATTAATGTAAAAAAATAAAAAAATAAAAAATTTTTTTGATATTATTGATGCTAAAATGATCTTACGTGTATTTCTGCATTTATCGTGCCCCCATTGGCACTGGTCAGCCCAATGTTGGGCTATCATGGCAATTTCATTATCCCATACCTAGTAGTCATGTGGTTTAGCATTTTAGTATTCACTATCATTTTTACGAAGTTTTTTTATGACGAATATTTTGATAGAATGAAAATTACCAAATTGGCCATTTTTTTAGTTGCTGTTGGTGGTTGTGGTCCTGGGGCTCCTCGTATTTCATTTCCACAGGCAACTTTCTGNTTGTGACCTGTCTTCCTCGGTTATGTGATCCGTGTAAACGTCCTGGCTTATGGGACCACCTGACGAATCAATAAAAAGGTAAAAAAATTGAAAGATACCAGTAAAATAAAAAAGTATCAATGCAGTATTTCATTTTACCATTTTTTCATCCAATTGAGTATTACTTTCACGGCAATCGTCCTGTGGACTAGTTCACGTCAGGCTCTTAACTGTCGATTTAATGGTAATATACGATACTGACTTGTTGCCGGCTTATCAGCTGACCATTATCGTGCAACGGAAACAATGACGTGTGTGCAATCATACATACCTAGTCAGCGGTAAACAATTGTTATCTACAGATCTAATTTCTCAGATAAGAATTATGGTTTTCATTGATGAGTACATAAATATACACACCTGTACAGATACAATAAAAAAATTTGATGATAAATATTAGTGTTAAAATTTAATAGTTGTTTTTATTTGTTTTGTGGAGTTTAATAAGTTAGACATACTTGGGTTCAACTCTACCACCATTTTCGTAAAGCCGATGTTGACTTGATAAAATTGTTTGAAAGGATCAGAAGATTAATTTGCTACAAGCTAAATTAAAAGCATTAAAATAAAAGTAACTTTTGAATGAAGTAACGTAGAACAGTTAAAACTAAATATGTATCTATATAGCTTTTATTTATCACTAATTGTAAATTTTCGAAATAAACAGGTTACACACTAATGACAATTCTGTTCATTATGTCCATGGTTATTTTCATATGATGAAATAAATTCTTTACTTTTGTCTCGAAACATACGTATGGAGGAAATAATAGTTGAGAATAAAAAAAAAAGTAGTTCTGATTAGGTATTTCAATATTTTATTATCATTATGATTATAAATGTGTTCAAATTTATAATAAAGATCTTATTGTGAGTGTCGTTGATAGTAAAACTGTAAAAAAATATACTGTCCTTCAGAAGGACAGTGGTTAGACAGAAGAAAAAAATTGAATTCCCACAAAATTTTTTTCAGAACATTTAATAGAATTTGCTCATATTTTCGTGTACTTTTCTATCAAATTAATGCTTTTATATTGTAATTCAAAGAAAAAAAAATAAAAAGGCAACGGAAAAAAATATTTCGATCTATAGTTCCCGTCATAATTCAGTGGTCAGCGCCTTTCAATTTAGTTTCTACTGCATTGTGCGTACTGAAAAATCATGATAATGCCACCCTCGATTTTTTTATGCAATATATTATACAATATCGGTCCTCTCTTTTTTCTCCCAAAAAGATATTATAGGCCCTCGAGCGCGGCATTCTAATAATACCGTCACTTGTCGCTTAGTCCATTGATCCGCTCGACCACAAGCTACACACACACGCGCTTACATGGAGGGTGTTCTTCTTTCATTGGGTATATAGTTATTATGACTGTTCAGGGTGAAAGAGAGTACGTGGGAGGTTTCGTAAGTAAAGAAATTTTTCAACAACGTCAAATGGATTCAAGGTACTACAAATGAAACTTTTTTGGTGGATTATGGGTAAAAGGCAGGGTTGCAAGTTGTATATTTACATCATTTTCCCACACGCCGGAAACGTTCAAATCTACAGTAATCAACGATTAACAAATAGTTTGGATTATTAATTACAAGAACGTGGTAACAGTATTTTGTTTGTCAGAATGTTTCAACGCTATGTGAGTATTTCTAAATCGAATCGTCTCACGTATATTTTTGGAAATTGTTTCAAGCAGTTAAAAATGATAGTAATGATGTGACAGCACATTTAGCTTGTTGTTTGTCAAAAATTTCTATTGTGCTCCCTACACGAGATGAAGCAAGTATATTTTTTAACCGGACAATTAAACGTAGGTATACTTTCGTAATTAATTTGAACATCAAATCAGTTCGAAGAAATTTTTGTCGATCAGGTACATATTCACGTGTACTCCGTATGGAACACGAAAGTCAAACGAATGTCACCGAGTCGATAATCCTTATACCCTCGTGTGCTATTACGAACAGTGGAGACTTAATAAAAAGTTGGGCTCCCGACACTCGAGAATCTCTCACGAAATCTGGATAATTTATTAGCTCCTCCATTGTCACGCTTTATGGAAGTCCACACATGAGGGACGACCACACGCGCGCGAGCGAGCTTTTTCCCCCGATTTCTTTGCCTTTTTTTTTCTTCTTCTTTTTCTTTCCTTACGATTGCGCTTCTCTCATTCATACAAGCGAACGCAAGTGCCCACACATATTTCCCCATTCATGGTGCTTATTCAGTCACAAGATGCTTTTTTTTCTTCTTCTTCCCTTGATATAAGTTACTGACTTTAGACGTTCGAGCTAAAGTTGTTATTATTATTATTATTTTTTATTTAATCTTAATTCTCATGAAATTTTTATTTTTATAAATATTTTGTAACACTCGTCGTCTGTAGGATAAAAATTGTAGTATGCCTCGCTCGCAGCAGCGACTCACTTGTTTTTGACACGCTCAGTGACTCAGAAATAATTTTCAAAGTTACATAATTTAATGTTTGCTAACTAAGTATAGTTACATTGCAAGAGTCAGTATTTTTTGAAGTACATAATTCTTTCGAAGTCAGACAATCGTGTAACGCGTCATCATTCGTTAAAGATGATATTTTTTCAAAGTTAACACTTTCAATATAATATACCCTCGTACAATTAAAAGAACCAATTATTAAGTTATTTTTTACATCAGAGGGAAACAAACAATTATTTTTCCTAGAATTTCGATGCCTTTGAAAACTTCTTTTTGAAAATGAATGCCACAACTTAACGAGGACGTCACGAGTATGTTTCACAACGACTTTTTCAGGCTGTGGCAAACGAGGTGCGACAAATTTTTAAGAATCGCGCGCTTTTCGCCAAGTCAGCGTTCGAATAATATCTTATATAGAATACAACACACGAAGGACCCTCCTCCCCCATCAAGTCAAAAAAAGCACTACTTGCTATGGCTACGAAAAAATTTCTAACCATTTGCTTCTTTTTTTCCCCCCCGAGGGATTCTAGGTCACTATTAATCGCCCGAGTCTCAATAATCCAGTGTCATCCTTCTGGCAACTTTAATATTTTCTTTTCATATAATATACATATATTTTTTTTTTTCATCACGAAACACAATGGAGCGTTTCTTTCGAGAGTTTAAAAAAAAAAGTGCGTACGACATTGCGTAACAAACAAAAGAGCACCTGCACATCCGAAAATTTCACAATAAAGCAGCTGTTCGAGCCGAGCCAATGACTTGTTTAAACAAACGTTCGATCGAATGATGATTGCTCGTTACACCAAAGTGGGGAGCTCAAATTAAAAAAAAAAAAAAAAAAGTATTATCGATTGAATTTTCGTGCAAATGATGTGCTGGGACAACAAAACGCAAGGAATCAAAAAAGAAAAGAAAAATAGCTCCTTAGAGACGACGCCATTCGAGGTGCGAACGCAGCGTCGTTACCAGGAGAGGCGGGTCGTCGACTTTCGAGAGAAGCACAGCCCATGCACGCGTGAATGAAAGGACTCCCTGCCGACGTAGACACGGGCTCCTTTTCTGCAAATCGTCCTATTCTCGCTCGCCTTTTCCCAACTCCTCGGGGGCTGCGCGTTAATTATGTTGACAGTCTCGTTTCACTGCGCGCGATCATTACATCATTTATTTCGAAACCCTCGACAAGTGCGGGTCCAAATGCGCTCATTTCGCTGTATTCTTCGTTTTCTTTTCATTTTCCTCATTTTTCTTCACCTCCGGCTTCACATCCGTCGCCTCATTGGCTTCGATCTCGGGTTCCCTTGTTTTGGGCTTTGCTGGGGGTTTCGGGGTTCTCAGCTCGACCTCCACGTTGCGTTTCTTCCCACCGGCGTCGTTCTTCTTTTTCACTCGCAACAGGTAAACGTCGTCGTCTTCCTCGGTTATGTGATCCGTGTAAACGTCCTGGCTTATGGGACCACCTGACGAATCAATAAAAAATCATGCAAGTGGCAGGTGTGTTTTTTTTTTCCATTTGTTTTAGGTTATGCTTAATGAGGGGAGCGTTACCCAGCTGTGGATATATCGTTATCTTTCGGGAGCGATCTGTTTCCGGGCCCGATCTGTTGATCTGTGGAAAAACAAACGAATTATTGTCGTTAACGAACGTGTTTGATGTTTTTGTCGCAATCGATCGATGATTAATGCAAAAAAATGCCAACCAAGTTTTTTTGGCCTGAAAAATCGTTTACCCCGCAGCATATGACATTAAAATTTGTACATGTAAGTAAGAAACATTTTTTTTTTCACAATTTTCTTGACAACTCAATGTTGTATGAAGTGAAATAAAAAAATTAATTTTTATTAGCATGTCTTATCGAAAAAACGCTTTTGACGTTTTCTCTTCTCCTGCATTAAATCTGAGAAAATGGCTGTTACAATTAAAATCAGTCGATCGCTTCAATTTCTCTTTACAATCAATAAAATTTCAAAGAGTTGTTTTTTTTTTTTTTCATACAGCTTCGTCATATCACCAAACACTTATGAGGTAGTACACACCTTGTATGCAATAGCCTGGGGTTTGTAGTTTGGGTCTTCCTTCTTATGAAGATGTCCCTTCGAGTGTATCCTAAAGAGGATCTGATTGTTATCGCCACCATTAACGATTTCGGGTTTCTCGCGCTTGCTCGTCGGTCGTTTAATCTCTATGACGTCGCAATCGCAAGGTGGCTCCCAGTTGGCCCTTTTCGTTTTTTTCTTCCGAGACTTGTCCTTTTCCATACGAATGATCAGCTGGTTGTCGATCATTTCGGCACCCACCTCGTGGACGTACTTGGTTTCTGGTTTCGTTGTCGGAGGACAGGGATCGGCTGGGCCTGGCATCGGCGGGCAGCAGCAGCTTGAGGATTCTGTTATTCATTTCGGTAAATTGTCAGAGGTTAGATCGAGACTTTACCGAGAAAAATACAACGCAATTACCAGGTTTCAAAAACAGCGACATTGTTTACGTTTTTTAAGGCTTTTTTTTTTTTTTTTTTTTTTTTTTAAATCTTAATATGTTTCAAATGAGAATTGTATTACATGAATTTTGTTAATTTTTCATACCAAAATTGCTGCGCACCGAGGTGCAAAGGTTACATAGTTTTATAATGAACAACTAAGTATGCAACTTCAAGCCATTCAGTATCAGCACGGTCTACACAAGAGACAGTGCCGGTAATTATAAAATGTATCAAATTTAATTTTTATACTCAAGTTAGTCCCCCAAAAACAGTAGTTTTCGTACCACGGGCGCAAAGTACAACTTCAGCGGGCAAAGGGTGCGGTTGGTACACGTTTACGCCCAAGTTGTGTTGATTGTCCAAGGACGCTTAGTTATTTAAGGGTGCAAAGGGTTTGCCATACTTTATTAGAGTATTGAATTAACACAATTGGAGCGTAAAAAATCCCGAGAATTTGTATATTTTTACTTTTTCTAAATGCATAATGTATATCTTACTATCAAAAAAAAGTGGCTGATGGTAAAAACACTAAAGGAAGGCAATCATATTACGCTAAGATAATGGTTAGACTAACAATTAGTGCTACTACACAGAATTTATAAATTCTCCTTTGAAATATTGTGGTCGGTATAATTAATGATCAAATCATTGTATTCAATTATAGTTATTATTTATTTAGAACAAAAGAAATCTAAAAATATACATGTAACAAGTAATTAAACAAACTTTATTATTTACGGTAATTGATCTATCAAAGACCGAATAATTTGCTTTAGACAGAAAAGGATTTTTTCAAATAATGAATTGATTTGATTACTCATGTCATTCAGACCAGTATTAGAAGATATTCGCCAACTATCAACACCAATTCGTCCGTCACTAGAATGCAGATTTGGAATGTTAGTAGCAAATTTTGATGTTATACCACCAATAACCATTCGTCCCTCATTAGGAGGCAGGTTTTGCAAGTTACTATTGAAATTTGGTATCATACCACTGGTAGTAATTTGTCCGTCATTAGTAGGAAGGTTTTGTATGTTAGTAATGAATTTTGATGTTATACCACCAGTAACTGTTTGTCCGTCATTAGGGGGAATGTTTTGCGAGTTAGTAGCGAAGTTTGGTATCATACCTTCAATATCTATTTGTCCATTAGGTGGCATATTTGGTGTGTTAGTATTGAATTTTGATATCATACCACCAGTAACTATTTGTCCGTCATTAGGAGGCAGGTTTTGCATGCTAGTATTGAATTTTGATGTCATATCACCAGTAACTATTTGTCCGTCATTAGTAGGAAGGTTTGGTATGTTAGTATTGAATTTTGGTGTCATATCACCAGTAACTACTTGTCCGTCATTAGTAGGAAGGTTTGGTATGTTAGTATTGAATTTTGATGTCATATCACCAGTAACTATTTGTCCGTCATTAATAGGAAAGTTTTGCGAGTTAGTATTGAAATTTGATATCATACTACTGGAAATAATTTGTCTTTGGTATGTTAGTATTGAATTTTGGTGTCATATCACCAGTAACTACTTGTCCGTCATTAGTAGGAAGGTTTGGTATGTTAGTTTTGAAACTTGTTGTCATACTATTAATACCAGTTGGAGGTTGATGAAGGACAGTAGACGAGGTAAAATAAACTGGTTGACCAATAATGTTTCCAGGTTCTCTGTACTTGCAAATCAAGTGAGTCATATCGGTGTATTCTACTATTTTTTCTTTGAAAGCAGCGCATCCAATTTTCGTGCTTCTACTCCAAACCATCTGAGTGTACGCTCTAGCGGCTGTGAGATCACTTGCGCTAAAGAATACATAATTTTGTAGAATAAATATGGTTATTTTTTACATTTTTTTCAATTGATCGTAGCTAATTACGTTAAAGAGCTGGCATGTTCGTGGTTGAACGTATTCGCTTGAGAGGACCATTTCTTAACAATAGATAGCACAGAATCACTTGAGTTGAAGGAATTAAATATGTAGTCATAGTTGTGACCTGTTAAAGGATTAGAGAGATATGTAAAACAATCACGAAAGTCCAGGTCAGATGAGCACGAATAGAGTTCATTCCAAGCTTCCTCCTCTAAAACTTCGTCCCATTGCTATAAAAATAAAGTTTCAAATTATACCATTTTTACAAGGAATTTTTTAAAACTTTCGATTACCAGATGTTCTAAGTTGATAGCTTTCAGTTGTGGCCTTGGGTTACCCATTCCTTCGATACCCTGACTCAATTTATCTCTAAGGGAATTGTGGGCAAACAAAATTTCTTTTTTGTCATTTTCCGTGAGTTTATAAATGGAACAGCCTTCACATTTCAAAGTCCCAGGGATCTGACGCACAAATAAATGAATACAAATGAAAAATTTGAATATTCATTTTTTACATGATATGCTTTGACATTTAATCCAATACTTACATCATTTGATGTAGTAACTTGAGAATAAGCAGATTTAATCATAAAAATCGCGACTATCAGTTGCACTGGACAATTCATTGTTGAATGGAAAATTCTGATTTTTCTGGACTGATTTTAGGTGAGTATAATTGCAGTACTAAGTTTGTCTCCTCTTTATATACCAAACGAAAATCAACAAATTTCACCATCACGTGAAAGTATGCAACAATTAACAGTAAGATCGTGCACGTATTGCTATTTGTCTTATATATACAGAGTTACTTGACGTATTACAATGAAAAGTTTGATTTAAAAAAATTTCTGACAGACGTGCCGTTACGCGATACAATTAGTCATTAAGTCGGTTCTTGTAGTTTACTTTCAGAGAAACTTCTTTAAACCGTACCAGTTCATTTTATTTCTCGCAAATATGCTGTAATTGTAAGGATTATAAATTTTTTTTTTAAAGAAAATAATCCAGTACAACGTGGAAAATCCTCCATATTTTTCTTCATGTTCTAAATTTTAAGCTGGTGTAGCGATGAATTACTTGGCACTTAATATGCAACTTCAAGCCGTTCACCATCAAGACGCTCATTACGAGAGAACGTGCTCGTTAATTTAGGTTATTTCAAAATTACTTTTTAGTCTCTTGCAACAAATACCCTCCAAAAAATCTGTTTTTTTTTTTTTACATCTAAATTTTGAGCGAAAAATCATTAGAAATGATATCCCCGGCTCACAAATGTGGCTGTCGGATACACGACAAGCCTCAAGTATCGACCACTTCCTTGTTAAACCATAACCCATCGCTGCAATCGTGCCTATCAACATCAACGACAGGTAGATAAAGTAGTTTTTTTATTTTTTATTTTTTATTAAAAAAAGCATGAACCATTGATCTGAAGCGCAATTGCAGACAGCGATGGCTCGTATGGATGTGGGTGCGCACCACCAGCGGTAGAGGAGCTCGAAAAGCCGAGCATTGTGTCGGAGATCGCGAGCAAGGGGCTGCCGTACAAGGAGATCGAGACGACGTTCAACAATAACCGTCTGGTGGTTCGTCTGCAGAAGGAAAAGCCAAAACCGGAGTTTGAACCACCTTGCGATTGTGTTGAGATGGAATCCGGGGAATCCCAAAATAATTTCGGCCAAGGGGTAAGTGTACTATTTTAACAAGTAAATTCGACGACGCACGTGCAAGCTCAGCTCGGGTTTTCCAAACCACGAGCAAACGGTATCTGTGTGTGTATTTGAGTGCCGAACATTGGCAAATATTAGCTGAACGGTAGCGCGTGCGACTCGCGGTGATACTTCACTTGACACGAGTTTTTTTTTGTTTTTTCACAGTCGCACAATGGAAACGATTTTGTGCTGCAGAAGGTAGGCCAGGGCTGCCGGACAATATCCGTTTATCCGAATCCGGAGCAGAGGGTTCCAGAGGCTGCGTCTGTCGACCTGCCGACTGTCAATCTCGAGGAGAACCCGAATATCTTCGTGTTGAAGATTAGGAGGAAGTGCGACAAGAACAAGCTCGATCTCGAATACCGGTCTCCCAGGCCGTGGTCGAGGGTTAAGAAAAACGAGGTGAAGTGTTGAAAAGGAAGCCAAGAAAAAAAAAAAAAAAAAAAATAGTAAAAGATGATGGAAAAAATAAAAAAAAATAGCAAAACTACGACAGCTAAACCCTTGAGTTGGTGATTGTTACTACACTCGAGTGAGTTATCTCTCACTGGTGGTGTCTTTGCTTTTTCAAACGTGTACGTATATGTAGCATACGTAGCAAGGGACTTTTTCTTCGCCAGTTATGTGATAATACTATTAATACAATTTTCTACATTTTGTTATTGTGCATAGAACAAACAGTTGTACGGAGCACAAAAAAAAGTATTGAAAAGGTGATAAATTGAAAATAGAAAAAAGGTTCAAATGAGCGTGAAAATTCATCAGAGCCTCTACGCAATCATCGACCGCATGGGTGGTATCGAATGAGTTTGCCGATCGACACGTGTATCCGTAAGAAAAGCTATTACCTAATCGTTTAAATTAAGAGATTACCTGAAATAGAAAAACCGGTAGCTCTCACGCGCCGCTTTCACAAAAGACGGAGAAAATAAAGACGATGATCGAAGGGAAACAAAGACGTGTGGTGCTATTGTGCTGCCGGGGCCTCGTGCTTGGATTACATAGGGACCATTATGGCCACATACCTATATATACCTGACCCCTGAAACCCAAAACGATTTTATGACTTTATGATCATATCTCGGTTTATTATACATTGAAAATCCAATCTGCGGCATATAGTTTTAGCTGTAATCGAAAAAAAAAAAAAAAAAAAAAAAAAAAAACTCATTTTTTTCCTTCCCTCCAATACCCTAAAGGCAATTAATTCCAAGACCAAACAAAACAACACTCCAAATACCCGAAACGGGAGGAAAATTTCCGTTTGTGTGCGAGGTACTATATGAGAAAGGCATCAAACTCCGATTCAATAAAAAAAAAAGGTCCCCAACTTTTCCATACAAATACGCACGCATGAACTTCCTCGAACTGACCTCTGCGTCTGACGAGAGAGTACTCGTACATAAAAGTACGGCCGTGCAATGGCCCATACGAAACTTTTGGAAATATTCACCGGCCGTTTCTCACGATCTTCCCACAGGTGAGCGTGAATGTAAGACCCCCTCTCCTCCCGCCCCGCAGTTAGTCCATTGAGTGACCCAACAAACGAGGCACCCGCCCACACGAGCCCACTTTTCGAACAAAGGCATCTAGAGCCCCCGAGATTTTTCCGTCGGCCGCGGTATATATTATGTACATATACACGGATATTACGGGTGAGGTGCGAATTCGGCGTCTGACCGTGTGACTTCTTCTTTTGGCTCCACTTTATTTTATTGTTACCCGCATCCCCAGATGTATATATATACAGTATATGCGCACACAATGCAAGGTGCAAAAGGGCGTCACGGGAATGTTTTTTTTTAGATCACCGCACCTATCGGATTAATTGTGTAAAGTGGATTGGTAGTATATACGCAGGTGCGAAAGAATCGGCACGGATTTTACCGGGGGAGCGGTGCCTTCGGATGAATTTTGGTCATCGTCACCAAAAAGTTTAAATTTTTTTTCGTGCGTCATTACTGGGAAACTAGTTTCGGTCTATTTGACAAAGTCAATTTGAATAATCCAACGAGCCGCTAAACACACATTTGATCGAGATCAAAACTTTTTACAAGACCCTCCAGTTTAAATGTTTAATCAAAGAGATATCAATCGTTAGATAACGAATAAATATATATATATATATAGCTTGAAGTTACCCTTCCATCCCGTTATTTTACCAACAATTTGCATCTTTATACCTTTACACACTTTTCATAGATACGTACTTTCCAAGAAATGAATACAAACATTAATTTGTCGAAGCGAAGAGATTGAATGTATGATACATCCAGGGGCTGGCATACCGGGGTACATTCATCACGCAATAGAATTTTCAAAACAGCTCCATTTATTTCCGAGCACAATGGCCCGAAATTTCGAAAATTTATTCTCTCGCCGCTCTCGTTTGTCCAGCTAATTATTACCCATGCACCAGCCAGTTGGCCCCACTTTCTGCACGACGCGAAAGTCCCAAAAGAGATGGGCTCTGCAGAGCTTCGAGTGATAAAATTGAAAATTCGTCCAATCGAAACAATAGTACATGCAACGCACCAAACTCTCCGCTGGACGTAACGTATATAATATCGAGCCTCGCCTACTCTTCACTCGGTGCTCTCGTTAATCCCATAAATCTTTGAACAAGGCATCGCCACCAGAAACCAACTCCACGTCGTCACCGCCGCGAAAAAGCCAAAAGGAACAGTCCGAATGGCCCCCCTCCCTCTTCGTTCCCTTTTGTCCTCGCAATGGGACGCCGTATCCATTTGTCGTCGTGCCATCCCCTTTCCTAAGTAGCCATTGTGGCGTCCCTTCCGTTACATTATACACATAAACGCTGCGCATCTCCATGTGTATACCGTATACATACTCACATACACGTGGATACCGTTTAGCCAGCAGTTTAGAAAAGTATACACTTTTGTACGTATGTGTATACGGTTCGCACTGCGGGTGCCCTCTCGTTGCGACAGTTCCGTTTGATTTTTTTTTTTTTTTTTTTTTTTTTTTTTTTTTTTTTTCTTTCCCTCGTCGAGGAGGTGACAGACTTTTCTCACTGCAGATACGTGAAGGGTAAGTGCGCTGCCATTGACTTTTTGTTTGGACGACGGAATCGGTGTTTCTTGATTTTACTGTTGGGGTCACTGGGGGTTTTTCCAGGAAAATTTTTCACTTCAATGGATTCTTCTGATGTTGGCACAATCATCGGGCTGATTGAGAACTATTAATTATTCAAATGTGCGTATGTACAACGTGTTACGAATAGATAAAACATCAGCTAACGCATAGTAACCCTCCCCTTCCTCAAAAAAAAAAAAAAAAAAAAAAAAAAAAAAAAAAAAAAAAANCAGGCCATTCCCTCCCTCTCCCTTCACGAGGCTCTCTCTCTCTCTCTCTCTCTCTCTCTCTCTCTTTACACGCCAAAAGTGGGGAGGTCGCCGTCGTCCTCTCGCTCACCTGTCTGCTCCCCCCCGCCATCTCTCGCATGTACTCTTTCATCGCTGAATTTTCCGTCCGTTTCCCTCCTCCTCCTCCTCCCTGCATCTCCTCTCTACTACGCGCCAGCCAGCCACCTACTACGACTTTTTTTTTTTTTTTTTTCCCCAACACCCACACAACCCGCCCCGGTACTCGCCGCACGTAGTAATCAGCCCCCGAACCACTCATCACCCCCTCCCCCGGGCAACGTCACAACTCTCGCTCGCTCATTTGCATGTCTGCCGCTGTGGAGGAACTCGCCACGCGACTCGGCTCCTGCCGTGCACTTCGGAAAAACGATAGTATACTCCTACTCTATGTGTATATATGTATGTACATTCTAGGGGGGGGGGGGTGCAGACAGACTGGAGCACAGAGCAAAGAGAGCGCGGGGGGGAGGAGGAGATATTCAAGACAGGAGGAGTGTGCCCACGGGCGAAGCCGCGAATCGATTGACAGCGGCGGATGAGAGAGGGAGAGAGGACGTC